CGCACATAATGCTACTCTTTTCTGCAATAACTGTTATATACCACACGCTGATATTGATCAAGTCAACAGCAAAACTTATCGCCCACGAAATAAATCTGAATTTAAAACTCAATCAGAAGCATGGCTTGCAGCCCCCTCTGCCTCGCTACAGCAAAAACTCGCCAAAAAGAATGGTGTACGAGCTACACCTTTCTTGAAGTTACCTTACTGGCAGCCAACCCGATTTACAACAATTGACATCATGCATTGTCTCGCGCTGGGGATTCTCAAAGATTTCTCAACAACATTCATTTGTCTACCTATAGCAGCAAAGGAGCTCGAGAAACAAAAGACTAATTTGGCTTACTCAGGTACCCACGATCTCCCTCCCGAGAATTTGAAACCCTACCCTGCACCACTCTGGCCCACACCCGATATCCCACTGGAATCGTCTGCTGGTAGTGACAGCCAGCCTTCGGATAGCGAGACTTCCAGCAGCCGTACCCAATATTCTCGTGCAGCGAAAAAACCAATGCAAGACACAATCATGTCAAATGATGAAGAAACAGACAGTTCTTCTCAACATCCATCTGATTCATTGCACTCAACCGCCAGCACAGTCACACCTCCAAATGGTCCATCTATAACACCTCATGAGCTTGACCTAGTACACTACACCATCTCGAATACCCCTGTTCCGTCATGGCTTACCCACATTCCAGCTACTTTTGGGACTGCAAGCTGTGGTACTCCCAAGGCAGCTGATTGGATAGTTTTATATACAGTCTTTATGGTGATTTCTCTTGTTCCATATCATCATAATGCTGAGCCTGAGTCGAATGCCTTCAAATTACATCGTGCACTCATCCTAATCGTCCAGATTATCAATATATCTTTTTCGCGGGTGATGAAGGAGACTGACATCAAGAAGCTTGAAATTACTCTGAAGCACCTCCGTGAACATCTACAAGCAGCTTGGCCTGGGGTCCGATCAACACCTAACATGCATTTTGCTCAACATATTCCTGACCAATGTCGCCAATTTGGTCCTCCTCCGTATACCTCGGCATGGACGGGGGAGCGTATTATTGGCAGTCTTGTCCAAACGCCAAAATAGACTCACTCAGGTCAGTTTTTTGTCTTCATTCCCTGTTTCAAATATTTCAGAATGGTCTCTTATCATCATCTTATTATTATTGTAGCTACTGTTGGTAAGACCATGGTCCGTGCACACACACAAAGGGGATTCTTTCGCAATATGCTCACCAACATGTCCCAGCAAGATTGGAACAACCTAGGCCTGGACGAGTTCTTCCATACCCCTGCAGCTAAATGGCGCACTTTCTCACCACCGAGTGAAATCATTCCCTCTATTATGACCACTCTCGTCACCATGGGTCATTCTGACACTGATCTCGCCCCAGCGCTTCAAACAACATCATACTGGAAACATGCCGGCAAGATCTATTCACCACGTGAAATCCATCAAGGAAACAGCTGTGTTCAGCTCCACAATAACAGTCAATTCAAATTTGGCACCATCCGACACATAATTCGCTTGGTCAAAGATTCAACTCTGCTTTTAATCGTTGACTCATTTCGCCCCCTGCAAGGTGCTGATCAGTTGCGAAATCCATATCGCCACTTGCCACATTTGAAAGCGGATGTTCTCTATCGTGAGTCACCCGTCATACAATGTATCAATCTTGACCACCTTTATGGTCACTGTGTTGTTGCTGAAAACCCTCCTGATACATTTGAGATCCATGAGTCCACAAACATCACCGTCGGTCTCAGGAGTATGGTCCGTAATTCCCAAATATTTCTCCAACTATTTCTGTCTTGTCTTTGTTCTAATCATTCTCCTTCATCTAGGCAATCATTGACATGACTTCCAGTTTAGCCGGTTTTGGTAACTAAGTTCTATTGATCACAATCCATTGCTTTTATCTGGATGACATATGTATCTATCATTTCCCGTATTCAAATGACAATATATTTTTGCCAGTTGATCACACTTTCTCATAAAACAAAACCACAAAGTATATTTATTTACATAATCTAGTCAAATCTTGAGTAAAATTATATGGTAGGTTTGAAAATTCTCGAATTATCGAGGCTCAAAGAAGAGCGCATTCTACAACAACAAAGGAAACTAAATCTCCATCAACATGACCACCATTGTTCACCACTAAGACTCATTCAGTTTCTTTTTGACTTGAGTAGCCAGAGTGTTCATCAATTCGGAGGGTGGATGTGCCTTCAGCTTAGCCCTTTTGTCGATATCAAGACTGTTGAACCAAACAGGGTCATAGCAGTTTTGTGGAAGCCCGCAACAGACTGCGGCTTTGTGATTGTATTTGGATCCAGGGATTCGACATTGGTCAAATCTTTGGGCGGCGAGTCGATTGCCGTGAAGTTGAGCCTTATATTTAAAAGAAAGGCGATCTATGGAATGCAGGAAAGCTGAGTACTGCTCACTTCGCCAAACTAATCCAATCTTCTCATATCTTATCTGATCAGGTTCGTACTCAGTCTCAGAGCAACAATCAGCATCTGTAATTAACTCGGTCCAGCTCGCATCAAGATGACGCTTGGCCGAATCGCGTCGATATTTGAACAACTGTGGATAAGGTGGACAAGCAATATCACACATGTGTATCAGTAATATAATCTATTTCTGAGAACGTATAAATCACTCACCGCCCTTTTCTTTTTGTTGTTTTCTACGACCCGGCGTTTTTTAGGATCATTCCTTCCAGATCGAATCTCAGTTGCACGACCACGAATCCATCTAGCAATTATCCCTTCTAGTTGTACTTCAGTGGTGTGTGAGGGATTGATTGATAACTTTGAGAACATCCCTTGTTGTTTTGCATGTAGCCAGTGTTTCAAAGTAAAGGTTGTCATGATACGATTCCACTCGTAGCCTTCTTGAAGTGTCCAATCGAAGGTAAATCGTGTAACACCATATTTTTGGAGGTCGGCCAAGATCATGGCTTTTGTGTTAGCCCATCGATCTTCTTTTGAGACAACAGTTTCAGGCTCGGGCAGAAAGACTCTTTGATCCGACATGATTGTTTCTTTAGTTGGTTGTATTAAGGTAGTATGTTCGTCTACCGTAGGTGGAGGTGGGAAGCTTTTGAGTGTGTTGTACTCCAAAAGAGCTCGGAGAAAGGTGGATATTGCACGGCAAGATGCTGCATTCGCTTTTGGAAGACTGCCTGCCACCAAAGCATTGTTTGCTTTAAGGGATTTAACAGGTGAACCTCGTTTCCAATTCTTCACTTCACGTGATTTGCGAGCTAGAGAGGAATAGAAAAAAGTAGAAACATCGCACGATATCAGAAAGATCAGGAACAAACAAGCCAGTGTAAAAGGACAACTTGAAATCAGAGGTAACAAACTCATATCACAGTGCCAAATTTCTAATGGATGGGATGCTGAGCGACCAAAAGTACTTGACAGAGTTGCTCTCGGATGACTCAAAGAATGTATTGAAGTTGTCTTCACTTCATTTCAGTACACTATGGAGTATAAAAAGTACGCTATGGGCACCTCGCTGTGGGTGATGCAATTCATATTTCCTTTGAAAGAGGACGTTAGAAGCAAAGGACAAGAGACACTAACCCAATCTCAAATACAGAGTGGTCAGACAATGGGATTTGTTCTGCCTTTTCCAGTGGTACATGTTAAAACATTCATCTAATCTATAGTATCTTCAAAACGGCCGAAGCAGATAACAAGACACAGCAAATATGTCAATGGGAAACTATGCCCATGTAGTGGCTGAGGTTCAGTGAATGCATGAACTGCTTGACCGGTGGATCGGATCAAGAGTCCGTAAATGTATTGACAGGTCAAAGGGAAAGCTTATGAATGGCGAGAAACGACACTCAGTCAGTCCAGACCAAATGAAAGACTTTTGATTTTTTTGTGAAGCCCGTGGTGTGCTCACGTCGATCTGAGACGTCCGGACAGACAAGGTGCCAGTTACTATGAACGCAAAGTACAAAGAGTCACTTCTGATCTTACCTAGACTGTAAGTAAGAGACCAGGTTCACTACCTATTCCTTTTTCCCTCTTTTCCTTTTACTGTCCCTGTTTCGAGACAGTAAAACTCCATCTTGGTCAAGTGCCATTGTTCTTACAACGTAAAGTTGATAAGATCCCTGAGGCTTCAAAACCCAGGCTACTCGTTGATTCCATCTTCGAGAAAATATCCCCGGCTCAGAACCTGACCAGTTCCGTCTGTTAACCAACAGTGGGCCGTGGAACCTTCTGTCACGTTTATATTTACGTATACCGTGGTTAGTACCCTTTGAAACAAGTTACTGATATAAAGGAAATTCCTACCTTTATAATAGATACTATTCATCCTATGTATCCAATAGGATTCTTTGTCAGGTTCCTCAGTTAAATATTGATATTTAACTACTAGAGTAAGTGCCACCCTGACAAGACTCTTGGAAATCACTTGGAGTCAGTGGATCAGACTCGGAGTCTCCAATATCTCACCAACATAAGCAAAAGCAGAGACAAGCTTGGTCTGCCTCACTTTCTTTTACCCAATCTACCTGTGGACCATGCACCAAGTGCACTAGCCAAGACAAGCTACAAAAAACACCTCAAAGTGAAGAAAGAAGGCTCAATCCAGTTAATTTACAATTATCTTACTTTGTTTGATTTAGTTGAATCACTTACTCTCCTGATTTTTCCACATTCCAGGTATTGTGGTTGACTTACAACACATTTCTGACCCAGACCACATAAAACACCGCTCAAAAAAGAAAAACAATCATGCAAAATACAGTATACAAATATGGTTCTGGAAATTTCCAGAACAAACTTTCTATACCCTAATTCAAGACTACTTGGATGAGGCAATCAAAGGAAAAAAGATTTAAGTCTCCTTTTATTGTTATCCATGATCAAAAGCTCTACTCAGCTGACTTTCACTCCTTATTTAGCTACCAGGTGGTCCTTTCCACTCCCACCCTTGCAAATGGTGTGCAGCACCTGTACAAGCTGAACCCAACTCAGCAACCAAATCAACAGCCAGCCACTGTGATAATTCCACTCAACTATCAAAGCTGGTAATGTATGTCCAGGCTTTAAAGATTGACATGTTGCGATTGAAAATGGTGCTAATCTACCCAAGACTCTGACCAAGGCTGAGTGAAGACTTATACACAGTGTAGCGATTGATCAAGAAATTCCCATCAATCAAAGCACTCTAGCTGTCCTCAATCAATGATCACAATTCAACAACAGTCTTCTTAATCAGATAATTGCTCTTTGGCTTCTTCAACAAGCACAACCATTGGTCTTAGATTGAGGATGTTGACCTATGTGCTTGTTTCAGTTATTCAAACAAACAGGTTCAGCTTCAAGTTTGTACATGGGCTGCTACACAGGTGCATGTGGTTTATCTTTCACTTCATGATGAAGTCTTTCAAAAACTTGAGGTATGCCTCTTTTGTTCTTTTTCCCATTTGAATGTGTCTTTGTTTTGAACTCACATGAATCCAACCTTTCAGGCAAATCCTAGCATGTTCAACCTTCAACAAGACAGCTGGGCTTCAAAAAGGAATTCAATATTGTTTCTTGGGTATTCAGTGTCTTTTATAGACAAAGATGAAAATTTGTCAATCAATGCCTTGAACTAAAGCTCATTGCTCGGTATTGCAAGGGCAAGTGGCTATCAGAGCCTGATCTTGTAAATATACTGAAGAAGCATCCAAAGATGAGTTTGTTCTTCAATTCTCTAATTTAGTTTTCATCTAATTTTGTTATTTTTTGTTTTTATGTATGCTCCCACAGACAAAGGACTTTTTGCAATGAATCACAGTTTGCATTGTATTTCTAATGAAGAAGACCAGCTGTATCACTGGGAGCCAAAGTCTGCATGTTTACTGTGTAGCTCACTGAAGCTCATTGATAGTCAATTCCAGACTTGAGGGACTTGGTTTGGAGACACAACCCCCACCTCTGGTCAAGAAAATTAATTGTGGAAGATTTTCTTTAGACAATCACTTACAGACAATCACCAAAGAGTGTGAAGACAAAGAGTTTACCAAACCTCAAGCTTAAGAATCACTTACAATCACCAAATAGTGTGAAGACAAAAAGCTTACCAAACCTCAAGCTTATAACAATTTCAATCAAAACTCTTCACACAAACAACATCAACAAGACTCATGTGGTGGGCGTGGCACAATTTTGACGCCCCAGTACGCGCCCGGGCGCGTCCTTTTTGGTCTGAATTGGAGTGGGCACGCCCATGAACCAAGCATGTGATCTACAAGGTTTTCTGCTGAAATCCACCCTCTTCCACCTTCAAATCATTTCAAATGAATCAATGTGTGTTATGGGTACCACCCCACACCATATTCTTCCAATCATGGAAGAATTTACAGTCTGGATTGAAATTTACCCCAACAGCCAAATTTTGGACTACATTGATAGCAACACATGTTCATTGATTTTTTTGATTTGGTTGATTTTTGTTGTACTATTGCTGTTGAATTTGTTTATAGGGTGTTCATATGAGATTATCAATGTTTTCTGGGATGTAGAAGATGTGGCTGACAAAGCATCATCAAAAACTTGACACATTTTTGTCCTTTTCCACACCTCATGCGCCCTCTCGCGCCCCCAGCCAAAATCAGGGCGCACCCGACCCCCTCCAGGCGTGCCCGGGCGCGTACTTTTTCCCAAGCTCACGCCCACCACATGAAACAAGACAAGCTTGAAACTGATCATGATGAGACTGATGAAGCAGTTATTCAGGCCAAAATTGTTTTACAAAAAGACAAAGCTGACTTATATATCAAACAAGAAATCCTTGCTAAGAGTAAGACACAGCCACAAAAAAAACCAGTGGAGTCAAAAAACAAGGAATTCAATGTAATTGAGTCTCAAAAAACTCACTGTTGTCATTCCAACAAACTTGCTAAGCTTTTGAAACAAGTGAGTTAATTTAATCAAACATTGAGCAGGAACAACACTGAATGAAAAAATATACACACAAAGCTTGATGTTGTGATACACAAACTATCAGGCTCAGAAGTATTGTGTGATGCTGTTTAAGATGTCAATTACCAAATTAGAGCTCTCTGTCTTCTCATGCTGATAGCTGGTTATGGAGTATGGTGGTATATCAGATATCAAAGCCGCCACAGGGCATGGTTAGTATCATATTCTCTATAAATATATTTCTGAAGTCTGATAGAATAAACTAATTGATGTTCTATCATAGGTTATAGATGAGACCTTGAGGAGGGATCAGTTGGACCTTCCTCCCTTAAATCAAGATGAAGGAATCTCTGATCCAAGTGCACATTATACTCCGGGTATTTTCAAGAAACCTATGTTCAAACCCAATGACTGGCAACAAATACAAGAACATGAATATTCAGAGCTTGTGGTAAGTCTGATTTCTTAAAGTCTTTTCTCATCAGATCACTGACTGGATCTCATGTAAAGCGCTACACACAATCAACAAAACAAATGAAGGAGGCTGGACCAACATGATCAATACTCATTTAACAAATATGTCAAGCAACAATGCCATTCTCAAAAGACAATCAACAACTCAATGTCTTCCTATGCTTTCTTTCCAATGTATGAAGCATTGTCACAGCAGGTCAACAAGTACTTTGAAGAAGCACTGAAATGCAAGACACTGGTGATAGCAGCCCTCCTTCATCCAAGTTGCCAATTCCCTTTCTTTCACAAGCTGTTTGGTCCTTTCTCAACATACTCAATGTATGCCAAGGAGATTTTTACGTCTGAATTTACCTCACAAAAACTCATACTTGAACTTGAAGTTAATAATCCAGCTGCACAAGAATGCCGTCAATCTACCCAACAATTCCTTAACTCTGATGATGAGATTTAACACATCCAAGACTTCAAGAAAATCTAAACTGTCTCTGATAAGATGTATGTTTTGAATCAAGCATAACACCCTCCAGACACATATATTACATCTCTTCACTTACTCACGACTATGTATCTCACCACCAGCAAACCTTCATTGTCCAATCCAAAGAGCTTTCTCAGCTGAAGCTGGTATCTGTGAACAAACCCATAAAGTTCTCATTCCACAAAAAAATCAGAGGTGTGTCTGTTACATGAGATGGTAACAAAAGAACCTAAAACCTCTTGAGAAGACTATGAATGATCAAGTGATATGTTCAATGTGTGTACAGAAGAGTATAAGGTTGCTTGGCATAAAAAATAAATGTAGTATGGGTTTTGATGTAGGAAATCTATATATGATCTATAAATTGTCTCTAAAGAGTTCTTAAGTCATATTTGCATTTAATTGTTCTAAAACTGGTCCCATCTTTGAATCTTGAGTTTAGAACCACCAGTGCATCTGAAAAACTCTTTTATGTATGACCCACACTTTGTTTGCTAAGAATTAATAAAAACCAACAAAGCAAGACTGATTTCTTGCCCACATATATGATTTATGGTGTTATTCTAAATACATTAAGGGTACACAAACATTACAACCCATTTGAAAAACACATTTGAGAAAAAATAGAAAACCCCATTTAAAAAATTATTTTTTTGAACAGAAAAATAAATTGAGTCCCTCTGGAATTTTCTGTTCAAAAAAATATTTTTTTGAATGGGTTTTTATATTTTTTCTTAAATGTGTTTTTCAAATGGGTTGTAATGTTTGTGTACCCTTATTGTTTGAACTTTCAGATTTGTTGATAACCTATCATGACACAAAAAGTCATGGAGACACAGCAAATCCAACCTGTTTGCAAAGACTACAGTGATGTGATGTTCCATATTTGCAAGCCACTTCTAGGTATCTTTGCTCCAAATAGGGTTTGTAGTATTAGGACTGGGAATATGGGTTGACCAGCGAACCACTTGTGGGTTACTTGATGAATCCTTTGATGTGCGGGTGTTGTAGCTTGATCAGTTAGTGAAAAGTAAAACTACTTTACTTTACTCAGTAGAGTTTGTTTTAATCAAGTTCAACTAGTTTGTGTGGTAATGCTCCAGAAAAAAAGTCACATGTGCTTAGAAAAGAAAACCACAACAAGTAAAACCAAAACACTAGTTACTTTACCCAGCAAAAGCACTTCTAGTAAAGTGAAGTATCAGTGTTGATACAATCAAGATGGTTAGTTCAATTCAGCAATGAGCACCACACTATATTTTTTTATTGATACTTTTGATTGTCTTAAAGTTATAATATATTTGATATTTTTAACACTTGGTTAAGGATATATCAACCGATTTTCTGAAGAATATTCCAAACTTTACTTTCTATTTATCTTTGTGATACATGTAAATCCATATCTTTGTACCAAGCATGCTTGAAAGCAATGTGTTGATGGAATTGATGATCCTAATTCTCTGGGTAATAACTTGTTTACATGCTTGATACATTTACAGCATGATTTTCTGAGGGCAAATGGAATAAAACAAGGTGAGGTGCTCCCATAAATCATTCTGGGTGTGCCCCGGTTGGCCCTGATTGATTTCTTGATCTCCTCGGGTTTGCCAGGTCCGGGTAAAGTACCGGTGTGCCCTCTCGCATTCCGGGTTGTAATTTGAGTGAACTGACAGATTTCGATCGATCAAGGTCTCTTTCTCATTCTGAACCAAATCAAAGGAAGCCTCATCGTCTCATCCAATCCAATCCAATCCTCAATCTGAATGCTAATGCTATGCCATTAAACAATCATCATCACAATCACAACCATAATCAACAACAGCAACAACAACAACAACAACATCATTCACATCGAAATACATTCAATCCAACTAACTTACCAATCAATCATCATCATTATCAACAATCCAATCACAACCATAACCATCATCACAATCACAATCATCTCTTCTTTCCTTCTCATCCTCAATCAATTCAACAAGCACAACAACAACAACCATCATCTCAATCACTTCATCATCATCAATCTCAACTACTACATCAACATTCTCTTCATCAACATCAACAACACATCTATTTACTTCAACAACCTCCTCCTCCTCCCAACCTTCATCATCCTCATCAACCTCCTCCTGTTCCTCAATCACAACCTTCACATTTACCACTTCATCATCATCTTCCTCAAGCTCATCATCTTCAACCAACTCAATCTCAACTACATCATCCACTACATCATCCTCATCTCGCTCTTCAATCTCATCCACTTCTCCCGGTTCCTCATCACCTTCAACTTCATCCTGCTTATTCTCAATCTCAAGCATCTCATCCTCAAATCCATCCACTTCCTCTACCTCAATCTCGTTCAGGTTCATTCTCTTCTACTTCTTCTCAGCAACACCATCCTCGAACTCAACCGACTCCAAACTCAAACTTACCAGTCCCTCCTCGACCTCCTCATTCCAACAATTATCTAAGACAGTCTCATGGATCAACTGCTGGTCCTTCTCCTAGTCTACTCTCTTCAGCTACCTTCAATTCGACTCCAAGACACAGTCTTCCGCCTCATAACCGTCCTAACCTAGTTCCGCTTCCTAGATCCATTGATCCTCGACTTGCTCGTCGTACTGGTTCTCAATCACAAAACTCTCAACCTAGTCGTCTTTCACTTCCATCACCTTCATCGGTGATTGCTCCGATTCCTATTCCTCCAAAACCTTCGACTATTCAAGTTCCTACTTCACAACCTCAATCACAACCGTCTACCTCACAGCCACCGATCATCACCACCACCACAGCCACTACCACTACTACAAAAGTGGTTAGACCTACTTCAGCATCTTCAGCAGATGAGCAATACCAACTAGGTCTGGCCGGTCCTCAAGCATGGGGGTATATGACCACATCTAGTATCGAACACAACATCTGGCGTGGTTTCAGTGCTTGTAAATGGAAGATACCTCTAGTGAAACAGACCCAGGAGATTCAAGAACCATTCAAGGAAATGGTATCAGAAGAAATGGACGAAGTCGAAGACCGATCACCACCTATTCTCGATCATCAATGGCAAATCAAATGGGCTCGAGTCAGATGTGATAGTATTGAGAATACTAGTGAATTCTATCTAGAGCTCGATCGACTTTCTCTTACCTATGTCACTGATTCTCGTACGCTTCAAGAGTCATGGGTTTACGAGATACCAGGAGACTTGGTTCCAAAGAAAAAATCGGTTGCTAAAGAAAAAGAAAAAGAATCGACTGATGAAGATTTATCGGCTTGCGACGATGGATTACGTAGTACGATTGATAGTCTTGGATTCCAGTACTGTAAAGGTAAGTCAAGACCCTATCCCGAAAATCCTTTTGGATCACTTTTTTTGACTGATCTTTCTCTTACACCATCACATCATCCTCCAAAGTGATCGACCAAGGAATTCTTACATACTCATCTCTCTTTCCTACCATAAGTGAAAGGATCAAGACGACAAATGCGAAACCATTCATCCCTTATCTTTCTAGACCTGCCAAGAACATCACCGGGAATGATTTCTTTGCACCTACTCATCTATCAGCCTATATATACTTTCTAGAAGCTCTACAACGTTATCTTTTTAGGATCCCACTTACTTCACCTCTTTCTTCGAATCCTTTGAATGCGATACCTACTCGATGGATTCCATGGGGATCAGATCGATTACTTTCAGTACCAGTGATGACGGATGAACCACTAAGACATGCACTAGCCATGGATTCACCTAGATTACTGGCAGCTATTCTACACGCTCCTTCTTCTTTCGAATTAACCTTGCAGGGTTCTTGTTGGCTAACACCCCTCGCAGCACTCTGTCAACCTGTCTTCTTTGCTCGTCGACTTTTACCTGTACCTACTGAAACACTTATTCCTGATGGGTTTCCATTAAGCTTAGCACCTTTTCCGTGGCTTCGAGCTAGGTTTGTAAGAATGTTTGGAAGACTTGATCTTCAGTGTGAACCCCTAGAAAGGAAATCGAATCCTACTTCTAGTACTACTGCTTGGATTTCTCAACACCGGAAACTTGCTAAACTTGAAGAAAAACGTATTGGAAGGTTTCAAGAGGTTTGGAAACGAAAGATGATGATAGGAAAGTACCAAAGTGCCAAGAATGAATCACCAACAAGTTGGTTAGTGTGTAGGTTATGTGAAGAAGAAGATGATGAAACAGGTGAAGAAGTAGTTTGGCCAGTTTGTTTTGCTTTACTTGATTTAGAAAGCTGGTTAGGAAGAACAGAAGAACCATCACTTTCAGAAACATCTTTCTCAACCAATGAACATGACGAAACCGATCCATTGACACATCGGCTTGAACTTTCGATTTCGAGATTGGAAGTTGCTCATCGGTTGCTCAGCTCGGCGGCTGGATCGGTTCAAGGTTTGGCTGAATCGGCTGGTGGGTATATTGATTGGTTGGCTCAGGAAAGGGAAGTTCAACGTAAGGCTGTGGCTGCGGCTGCTAAGGGGAAAGAGAAGGAGAATGAGGAAGGTGTGGGTGGGCGATGTGAGGGGGTGCTTCGATCTAAGTCTGGATTCGGTCCTCTTTTAAAATTAAACTCAAATACAAATGCGAATTCAAATTCACATTCAAATGCGAATGCAAATGCGAATGCAAATACGAGTGCGAATGCGAATGCGGATGCAAATGCGAATGCGAATACAAATATAGGTGGTATCTTAAATCACCCTGGTCCCTTGGACATCAATCCTCAGCAATCTTCCTTCACTTCACCTCCGGCAGATCCACCTTCGACGCGACCCGTGAAACGAAGGCATGAAGATCTCGAAGAAGAAGCATTGATCAGTAACGACACCAATCTCACTGGTCCGGAAGAAATGGAATGGTGCGATAATCTACCTGTGAGTTTAGAGACCGTGTTCTTATTCCTTCTTTTACCATTCCACCGCCCCAAGTTGAGTTTTATCACTGGGTTGGACCCATCAAAGCTTAGATGAGAATGATCTGAATTGATTCGATGGTTCAACACTCCTTTCATCAATGAACCTTTCAACTTTTCTTTCGGATTTGATTCAGCAGTCTGAGCGAGTTTTGGTCGAGCCTTTTGATCGTCTTTCGAGCTCTTTACCGGTTTCTTTGGGGGTTGATGGTCTATTGGAAGGCAATGGGGTTCTTTCGTCACCTTCGCCTGTTGCGCTCAATACCAATCTTTTCGCCACAGGCTCGATCACCACTGTTTCGTCGGGTTTACCCACTTCTGATGATCAGACTCTGTTATCAACTGGTCTTGTTGGCTCTTCATCTTCACAGCTCAACACTGATATCATGCTCACCTCTCAGCATCCGTCATCATCCATGGAACCTGCAACAATGATGCCACGAAGACCGATGGTCGACCCACCAGGCTACGAGTCAGTTTGTTTTGGACCAGCCCATTCAGTAAATGATGTTCAGTATCAAGATCGTAAAGGGAAATATGCATTACCACCTTCACCATGTTCGTTTGGAGTGGGATCTGATGATGATGATGAACTTGGTTCATTGAGCACGCTTGGAGAGATTGAAGAAGAACGGAGAAGGAGATTGATGGAGACGTCTAGACGACTTGCTCGAGAAAGTGATCCGAGAGCAAAGTTTGTGAAATCGAAACATACTCATAATCCTTCGAATCATCAAAGACTTTCGGTTCATGAACCATCGTATCGGATCAGTAGAAGTTCTTTACTTGCTTTGCCTACTTGTCATGGTCAAGGGATAACAGACTTTCCTCCTACGCCAAGGTCTTGGGTGCCATTGGGGTCTTCGAATGAAAGTCTTGATGATTCTAGTGAAGGTGATGATGAGGATGATGAGCTGCTTGGTATGGTTGGGGAAGGAGTTGATGGTGGTCAACCTGGTTCGTCTGATTCTGATTCTTCTTCGGATAATGAAGATGTTGAAGGAAAACAGAGTGGGGTTCGAATGGGATCTAAAGAAGATAAAGAAACGATTATATCGAATATCTTGAAACTTGAAGCATCATTAAAGAAAGTCTTGGAATTCAATTTACATCAATACAAGAATCCTATGAATAAAGTTGATCAAACGAAAAAGAAAAAGAAGAAGAAGAAAGAAGATAGGATTTCATCGAGGACGAGGGATCGGTTGAGGAATTGGGCAAGTGAACTTGGATCACAAGTGATCTATGATCCAGGATTAGAGAGTTTGATCGAAAGACTTTTACCAAGGAAGGAGTCACTGAAAAGTAGATGGATGAACCGAACTGCTAAACCTGAGAAAAGTTTATCAGAAGGAGAGATACCAAGGATCGAAAGGATTGAGTATCATATACCTAGAATTGATGATTTAAAACTTGGATCTCATGAAGAAGAAGAGGATGGAGGAGGAGGAGGATCGAACTGGAAAACTTTGAGAGCTACTATGGTGCTCGTTAAGACTAATCTAGGACAACAGAAGTTGGGATTCCCTTTGAGTGAATTGAAGGATTGGAGTAAGTTTGGACTCGAACCTGTGAGTGGGAAAAGAGATGTTTGTGTTTCGGTGGTTTTGCCTAGGGGGAAAGGGTCTGATAGAGGAAGAAGAAGAAGAGAAAGAGGGAGAGATGCGGATGGAAGAGAAAGAGATGAGGAAGGAAGAGAAGATGAGGAGGAAGAGGAGGAAGAGGAAGAAGAAGAAGAAGAAATTAGAGTGATGAAACGTTGGCTTGAAAAGTTTTCATTTGCTTATAATGTGAGTGATTCTTAAAATTCTTTTAGGAATTGAAAACTTGAACCAAATTGATTGTTCTTTGGGTATTTTTTTCTAGGCTGGTAAATTTGGACAAATGACGATTGGAAAAGTTCATCGTAGTGAATATTCATCAACTGAATTATCCAAAGAAATCGAAGAGATGATTGAAAGTTTAGATCGAGTGAAATCGACTCGACATGCATGTTTGATAGTGATTGATAAAGTAGAAGATTTCAGAGGGATGATGATTGGAATCCGACAAATCAAAGGACCCGATTGTAGACCAGTGACAAGATTAATGATTGATCGTCAAGAGTTTCAAGATGAAGAGTTTTCAAAAATGATTAAGTATTCATTAAGGTTATATGATTCGATGAAGATCTTAGTAGATAGGTTTAGATCTCCTGGTATAAGTTTTGAAACTGGAACTGAAACTTCTCCAAATGCATCTCAAATCCAAAGTTCACCATCTTCTAGTCTATTGATGAGAAGTCGATCAGAATCAAGTTGTAGTAGTGATTCATCTATCTCTACCATCGAAAGTGGTGTAGATCAATTTAAAATCTTACCTAAACCTATCAAACGATTGTCTTTTGGGTTTGCTTATTATTTGAATGGGTTTATTAAACCTTTACAGTTGAACTTGAGATGGCCAGCTAATGGGATCGATGTGAATTCTAGACATAGGTTTTTACATTTGAGTTATAAACTTTTAAAGAGTGATGAAGATCAAAAGGAAATGGTCATAGTTTCTTTACAAGATGAGTTAGGACAAGAGTTTGAGATTCGATTGAAGTTTATGGAACATCGGTATCGTAGAGAGATTAGAAGACGTCAAAAGGAATCGAATGAGAAGTCGAAGGAAATTGGATTGGATCAAAAGGATAGGTTGGATCTGATTGTTAAAGTCGTTTGGAATGAGGTTGGAAAGGTTTTGGTTAGGTCTAGTGTTGAGTGGAGGGTAGTGATTGGGAAGATTGGAGTTATGGAACCTAATGAATACAAAGGTGATTAAGTTGATCTCTTCATATTAGAACAATGAACTGATTGAAATGATTTTTTTTTTTGGTTGGTTGGATAGCATGGTGTGAATTGTTATCACGTAAATTACCTAAATCAGATTTAGCATTTCATGTAACTTTATCATCTATTAGGTTAGATGGATTACCATTGATTAGAAGAAGAAATCTTAGATCTGAGATTGGATTTCAAACTGATTTGAAGGAGAAAGTTATGATAGATTCAGAGGAAGGAGAAGAATTAGAAATCGTAGGAAATGAAAAAGGAGGGATTGAAGACAAAAGTAATGGGATCGAAAGAGTTTATGATAAAGAATCTGAAGGAAGTTATTGGATTATCAACGAATCTACTATCCGAACTCATTCGATCAATCTCAATTACCAATCATCAGAAGAAGAAGGATCAATGAATGAAAGAATAGTGAAAAGTTTGTGTACAAGTATGATTTATTTTGAAAAAGGAGAAAGGTTTAATGGGATTCGAATTGAAGTTTTAGGAACAGCTGCAAGCTTTCATTCGGTTTATAGTTTTAACCTTTTTCAACATCGTGAAGAGATGAATCATTCATTGATTCAGTTATCTAAACTTAGGATTTCTAGATCTTTAGTTTTTAGGAATGGGGCAAAGGATCAAGCTGTGCCTGCTCATTTGTTTGTCATTGGGTTTTTGGATAGGGTTTTGGGTGAGTATTGGGGACGGATTAGGAGCTTGGCTGAGGATGGGGATGTTGAGGTTGATGAGGATGAGGATTGATTGGTTTGATTGATGGGTTTGTGAGGTTCTTGTTTTGGGGTGGTATGGGTTTTTTTGGAAGGAGTTTTCTTTTTTTTTTGAGTTTAGATTGATACGTTATAGATGAAGAGGTTTGATTTGTGGGTTGGTTTTATGTGGTTTTGTTTTTTTGGAAATTGGTTTTTTTACAAAATATATATAAAGGTTTGTTAAGAAAATTAAAGCAAGCAAGTAATTCAAAAACAAAATAAAATTATGAATCATAAATGACAATTGTAAGAGCAACAGCAATAGGAAAGAAGATCCAATTTGTGAGTCTCTGTGTACAAAGAAGAGCAGTTGAGAGGAAATAATAGTCTCCTGGAAGGTTGTAAAAAAATGAGAAGATTGAGCGGTTGTGAAAGGATGAAAGTTTGAGTATTGATCACTTTGTCTGGTTCAGAGAGATGTCATGTGAAATGATAAAATATACTTTCAGATAAAATTCAAGGCAAACCATCAGATTGTGAACGGTTTCAGATTGTGAACACTTGCGCTTGCTCTTTTGCCAATGAAGTCATTCTTGATTTTCTCATTAAATGATAATGATACATCTTAAGTCTTGATCCTATACTATACTATTAAATGATCCTGACATCTTTCTGAATACGTATGTACTGGATCCTTTAGTTGATATAGAGATTCAAATCTAACTTATGAGGGGAAATCAAAGTCTTTAACTTTAGGTCTCCCTTTCTCTTGGTTCGATTCTTGAGATCACAGTTTTGATTTTTGATTCTTGATCAGGATTCATGACACCGCGGGAATGAATTAGTTCAAAACCCGATTGAGGAAAGTTGCGGTGTCCGAGTCCGCAACTTCCTTCAATTGTGAATTTCGTTCGCAATACGTTCACAATGGGTTCACAGGTTCCCCTCGAGATGCCCTGTCTATTTGCTGTGTGTGTAAAGCATGTATACATAGCCAATACTCCCATTCACAGTATCAACTATCATTGATCTCATTCATATCTTTGGCTCCAGGCTCACTGTCATAGGGATGGCCGAATGGGTAAACTTGGATGGTGAAGCAATCATACAACCAGAGACTCGTGGTTGCCAAAACTCTGCGGTGGCTGGAAGCCACTGGAATCAGCTCGTGAAAATGAGACAATTGCCTAATACAGAGTTCGAGAAAACTCATGTGTGGTTTTCAGAAGAAAACTCATACAAATGAATCCCCAGCCTTCAGGAACCCATTTGTGGAGCAATACTCATAGAGTATCGCAGCGAAAAAAGATAAAATATGTACGCAGGTGGATAGGTGATGAATTGCTTGTGTAGACAATCAAGAAGTTTGGTACTTAGATTGGAACTCATCTGTACCGATATACACATGATATGATCTCGTTTTTGATCTAACTACATAGGTTTTTAATAAAAATGTGAAAAGACGAGCGACCGATCGATTATTGTGTGTAGGCAAGTAACAATGACGCTGATTTAATAAGTGAGACCTGTGTTGTATAACAAATATGTATGTATAAGTTGGACTTATTTGTATAACAACGTTTGAGGTCATTTTTCAATCTAAGCAAGTCTGTTGAAGACTTTAAAAGCATGACCAGGGGAATCTATACTTCCTCAGCAGCTACGGTTGCTTCATCATTATCGATCCAGTGACGAAGAGAAACAAGATGACTGATAGTTTGAGTCGATAAGCGTGCACGATCGTCAGTTGTGATATTACCGGAGATAGAGAATACTCTTTCCACAGGCGCCCCAGACGCTGGGATAGTGAGATGATTGAATGCAAGCTTGGCGAGCAGAGGATACGTCCCCGAAGTGGCCATGCGCTGGTGGATGGGTTGCAGTGTCAGTGTATGTAGAGATGATGTGACAAGATAGGTAAGGTACTCACATTCCAGTATGATCCAATATTCTCGTTTTTAAGGAGAGGGTGTTTTCCATCTAAGTACTTTTTCAGCTCGTCTTCTTCAAACTCTTCCTCATCACTATCAAAGATGTCGCAACCCGCGCTAGCGTAGATATCTTCTAGTGTTTGAAAAGTATTAGAAGCAGATTTGGCATTCGTGTTCTTGCTTGTGACTGGCTGAGGATGAGTCGCAGTTGGTTTGATCTTATTGTACTCGATTCTGAGAGACTGAATGCCCAGTTTTTCAACCGAAGCACTGAGACCGAATTGCTTAAAGGTACGTTGTCTGAGGCGTGGTTCGAGGATAGTTGCAATCAGAGTTTGGGGGTTATTGCACTCGTTGGTTAGATACTTTGTTAGTTTCCTGTTCGCCGCAGTGCAAGCAGCCCCCCATGCACCTGGTGCTGATTCGCCAGCTCGTAGCCTCTTCTGGATGGTACAGAGTACCGCAAGTACACATTGTTTACGAGGCTGGTTTGATTGGAAGATTTGAGTTGTAGATTCAAATAAATCTAAGATTGGCATCATGAATTTAACCGCTGCCCATTGCTGATGAGTGATCGCAAATTTTGAGCGATCAGGGTGATCGGTGTAGAGTTACGGTACTCAAAACAACCAGGTCCGAGCTACCTTTGTCCGAAACCTACTTACATACATTTCATTTTTGCGGGGACAAGAGAAACTAGGATTTTCCCACCTGGTTTCTTGTTTTGAGGAGCCCTTTGCCATCTACCACTCCTCAACAACATGCCTCGTGTAGGCACCCGAGCCCAGCTGATATCCGATCTCGTGAAATCATCGCTTCATCTCTTATCGGTCATCAATCTCACATACCAGTCGCCTTTGTACTTACCTCTACAAGCGTTTCTTCACTTTGAATTGATGAAATCTGGCACCTTATTACTGCTTGAAAACTCTCAAGAATCAGTCACTATCTCAATGATCACCTTAGTCGGAGCACTCGAAACTTACCTGAATGGATGCTTGAACCTTCAAGAGGCCGAATCGAATCAAGTGGCCTTACGTGAACACTGTTTCCGGATTGGTGTGATACTTGGAGAAGCCCTCGAACAGACTGATAGAATACGTTACTTTGAAGATCGACTCTATGAAAACAGGAAGGACCTGCAACAAATACGTTTCACTGCGGTCTTCAATGGAAGCGATAGGAATTTTATGAAATATGTAAGTGTTTGAAGGTTCTTACCAGTTTGATTGATATGTGTCACTCACTGATCATTCAACATCATTGCTACCTACCATAGGCTCGAATGTCGAAAGAAATTTTTTTTCGCCTTGTACCTTTGATTAGTGAAGACCTTGTGTTTCATAACGGCTCATCGCGGCCTCAATTACCAGTTGAGTGGCAACTGCTTGTGACATTATGCCAGCTAGGATTAAGTGGGAATGGTGGTAGTGCTTACATGATTGGACAGATGTTTGGGCTAAGTGGTGAGTAGGTGAATTAAATCGGGTTCTCTTCTGGTACAATATCTGATGTCCTGATGTTTCAGAGGGCAGTGTACATAATTTTACATCAAGATGTTTCGAGGCCCTTTTGAAATTGGAAAGCCAGTACGTCTACTGGCCTGACGCAGAAGAACGAACGATTATCAAGAAAGAAATTGGCGCAAGGTCCTTTTTTAAAGATTGCGTTGGATTCATAGACGGAACACTCATTCCTCTGGCCGTGGCTCCTCTCAAAAATCCAGAGGACTTCTGGACTCGCAAATTCATGTACGCACTCAATTCGATGCTCGTTTGTGATCACAATGCTCGGATCATCTATGCGTTGCACGGTTGGTGTGGCAGTTCACATGACCAGCGTGTTTTTTCATCAACTCAGGTAAGTAAAACAGGTGTTTCGCATATCCAGCAAGAATCTTACTGATTGGTTATTGATTTGTTATGTCAGATTGCTCAACAACCCGATCAATTTTTCTCCGAGGGCGAGTACCTGTTAGCCGATTCGGGTTACACATGTACCCAGAACGTTATTCCAACATTCAAAAGCCCCCGTACCTATGGATTAGATCTATTGAAAAAGGAATTCAACACCGCACTCAGTGAGCAACGCGTGGTCAGTGAACACGGCAATGGCATGCTCAAATTGCAATTCCAATCTCTACGGGACATGCGACTCATCTTAAAGGATGCACGAACCGCTACGCATGCTGTCAACTGGATTCGTGTCGTGTGTCTCCTGCATAACTTCACGCTGAAGAATAGGGACAGCTGGAAACCGGAACAGCCTGCTGATATTAATGATGATGACCCACCTCAAGATGATCTACCTGTCAATTATGATCATAATGCATCTTATGCAAGAAGAAACGAATTATTGCATGAGTTCAGAAGATGGCAGTCGTGCAATAATTCGCAAGGGTAAAAGCAATCTTATCTTTTTGTAACCAAAGTTTTGATCGATTTTGTGGTTCAGTTATAATCAAATTAAAAAATTTAGTGCAAGCAAGTGTTTCATTGTTATTTAGGTAGCTATTAAAAAAATCAGTAAAAGTTTTTTGATATGAATTTATTTGATGTTGTTTGGTAAATTGAAATAAAAAAAAAGTTGGTGATTTTTTTCAGATATTTGAATTTGCCGAGTTTTCAAAAAAAGAAAGTTGGTGATTCTCTTCTGAGATTTGAACTTGCCGAGACGATCAGATCTCTACCAAGCCTCAAAACTTGATAAAGATCTGATCCAAGTTATTTTGATGACTTGGAAAAACTTTTCAAGTCTAAAATCTTGATAAAGATCTGCTCCGAGTATTTCAATTACTTGGTTGGCACTTGGTGTTCATCAATAGTTCTCAGCAAATTATTTGGAAGCACTCCTTGTATTTCTTACGACCAGCAGACAAACAAAGAATCACACATAAGTTGCGCACACATTTAGATATCAGGCCTAGAACCAAATTTTGGAAGTCTTGCACAAAAACAACTGGTTTAACACTTGCGCACACAAATTGATATTAGAGTATAATTATATTATAAGATATATTGAAAATTTTAGTAATAGTCGCGCGAACAAATGGCGATTAAAGGCCAGCGGCCATCTCATCTGCAAGCTTCATCGCCTCTTCTTTAGACATTCCTGCCGAGATAAGCTGAGTCACCCATTGAATCTTTTCGCGCGCCATAGTGAGTTTGTCAACCGATGATGGACCCTGTTCGAGTGCTTTGACCGCGGCTCTTTCAGCTTTAAGTTCGCGATCAAGCTTGAGCAGGCTCAACTCAGCCTGCTTGGTTACAAGCTGCTCGTCTAAGGCCCTTTTTTTGGCAACGGCTTCAGGAGAGAGTTCGCCATCATTACCTCGCTTGTCATTTCTAGCTGGCGAGCCGTCCAATCGAGATCCAAGGAAAGAGATGAAGGCTTGAGTCGAGGTGGCCATTTGGTCTTTCAGATCCTGGTGGTCACTGGCGTCCTTCTTTCGGTCTCCAGTAAGTTCTTTTAAGTCTGACATGGTAGGCAAGGATGATCGGACTGATTTAGTTATATCATTCTTCTTGGAGGTAGATGGTCTTTGAGGAGTCTCGCTAGCAGGTTGTTTAAAGACAGCAGGGGGCATTGGTTGAGTGTGGCTACTACTGGAAATACTGATGCTCGATGGGCGTTTGAGCATGGGTGGCAGAATATCTTCTGGATCAGGTGTTTGCAAGGAAGGATCAGGAGAGGGCGATCGGCTGATGGGGGGGGTCGCGTTCCAAGATTCATCAAAAGCCATGGACTCGGTCAAAGTGAGAGAATAGTCAGTTGACTCGGTTTTGTTTGGGGTAGGCTGGGCACTCGGAGCGTTGGCTGTGGTGGGATTCAATTGGGCAGAGTGAAACACCTCGGCAGTAGCTAGTGGTTCGTTTCCAGGACGGTCACCCATGAGCGGTTCAAGCTCTTCGTAAAACCGACATAACCGTTTCAACATTTCTGACACGGAGTAGGAGAAGACGTTAGTATAGGTGAATCATAAAACACATAAACAAAAACCTTACCGTTGGTTGTACTGGCAGCCTTCGATCTGATGGCATCACCGGTATCATCATCGTACTCTACTTCAGGATCGGCTTGTAAGTCATTGATATCATCCTCGGCCTGCGCCAAGATCCCAGCTCCGGTCTGTTTACGCCACCCTTGAGCGGTTCGAAACTTGGTTTCGAAAAGTTCAATCTAGGTGGGAAGATTTGACTGTCAGAAATGGGAAATTCAAGAAGAAGATTAACAAAAGCCGTACCTGCTGCTTGCAGCCCTTCCAGGTACGAGCAATAAAACCCTTCGCCACGAGATACTTGGCACATCTCTCGGAGCACTCTTTCTTACTTGGAATGCCTGCTCGGTATGCAGAGTAATTGGTCGAGATCATATCAGAAGCATTCATACACATCCAAATCACATCTTCTGGACCGTCTTGATCGCCCCAAGTAAGTCCCAACCATTGAACGATGCCTTCAAGTGAATTTTTACCCTCCTTGTTGAGATCTTTAAGCCACGAAACCTGTCTCTGTCTCATAAGTGCTGCGTGGTGAGGTGGATTCGCGCTGGGATCATCCGTAGTTGGTTTGGTCCGATGACTGCCACGTTTGGGAACCGGATCCGAAGGAGACTTGGAAGTCATTTGAACCGTTGGAGCGTGAGGCTGGGTAGATGGTGAGAGAGAAGAGTTACCAGAGGACTGGCGAGAGATTGGAGACCTGAATAGCGGGTAGGGAGAGTGGAGACCCGAAGAGCGGGGTGGGAAATCAAGCTTACAAACTAGGTGCTGGCGTGTATGTTCAAAAAAAACCTATTTCAGCAGAGACATAGAATGATCTAGAAAGTAGGTTTTGGACAAAGGTAGCTCGGACCTGGTTGTTTTGAGTACCGTAAGTGTTAGACTGGTCTTCAGCTCGAGTGCCCGACGAATCTGAAATACATAAGATAAGTTTTTTATCTTATTAGCACCAATGATGATAAGAAATGACTTACAACATAATACTAATAATTCCAACGAGTTGAAGGTGCTCCAATTGGCAGCACCTTTCGGTCGCTTGTACCAGCTCGAATCCCCTCAAAGTATTCCAGCTCTTGAGGTGACTTACGAATATTGACGTTGAGAGCACGGAAACCTGTAACAATTGAGCTCTTGACCTTCTTCTTAGTCCCATGGCTGGCAGATGTGGTATTGAGAGGTGGTAGCTCAGTTGAGCGTGGTTGGGTTTGTCCTGAAAGATCTGGAACAGCAAATGAGTTCTGATCGATGCGAAAATCCGTATCAATTAAACCGGATGCGTCCTGAGTCTCCGAGATTGGCTGATCGAGAGCTCGGAGGGCTAATTCAGGTAATGGAGGTGAAGATTGTCTTGCATTGAGACTCGAGTCATCCTGAGATTCAGCTGAAGGGGATTCAATTAAAAAAGTTGCTTCACTTGAGGCCAAGTCTTCCTCTCGAGAGCCTATACCTGACGTCTCAAACTCTAATAGCTCTGATGGGGTCAGTTCACCCATGGCTTCTAAGAAGTCTTTTGCTACCAAGTTGATGACATGACACATGCATCCATGAAACTTTGTTGCAGTTGACCAATTGATTCCGATCCTAGCATAGCGTTCTCCCAAGAAATCCATCATTTTCCGATTGTTTGATGCATTATCTGCTGTGACAGCAAAGTGTCTTCGAAGAATGCCTCGCTCGTCTAAGATGTCCCAATAAGTATTAGCCATTGCCTCTCCTGTATGTCGACCCTTCAAGACCTACAGGACACGGTAGGTCAGTCATTGTGATTGATAAAGAGATCATCAGATAAAAGTGTATTGAGTACATACCTGGAATTGGAGAAGTCTGCGACAGAACTTTCCATGAGCGTTGAAAAAGAAAGCACAAACAGCCATGTAACTGTGAGTTGAGTCGGGGGATGTCCAGGTATCTGTTGCAGTTGATATAGCTCCAGGGCATGCTTTTAGTTCATATAACAGCTTTTCTTTAAGATCATAGTAAAGTTCCGTTGAATCGGCCTTGATAGCGTGCCTTCCTGGCCACCTAAAGTGCGGTGCAATTGAATTCATCGCATGCTGCATGTGTCGGCCCTCGAAAAGTGAGAAAGGTAAAGATTTTGATACCACAGCTGCCACAAGCAGTCGGCGTTGATCTTTCATTCTAGCTGCAGCTTCAACAGGGTCTTCACCAGGACGGATTGCACCCGGCGCTCCAGTCATAAAAGCGTTTGTAAGACCGGGACACTTTGCTCGATGCTTATGTAGGTTTGAATTTGAGGGGGTCTTCAAAGTCATTGCCGTACTGGAACATGCCACGTTAGAAATATGAAAAACAAGTTAGTATAAATGTAGACACTTACGTGCAGTGTCTACATTTATAGATCACTGGAATCGGGCCTTCAGGATGTTCATCATTGATGATGCCTTGTACTGGCTCCTACAATTACAATGGAAGTAATTATAAGAGATACACTTATTGTAATAAACAGGCTTAACACAAGTAGGACTGACCTCAAAGTACTCGTATACCAGGGCAGCTTTTTTTGAAGCTGAATCGTTAGAAAGATCCATGAGGTTTGTTGAATCGGGATCAACACCCAACTGTTCCATCACTGAATCACCCGTTGGCATTTGTTCAGACTCAGCCTGACTACCTATAGCTATCAGATTAGGAGCTGATGCACGTCGGTGACTGGCATATGGTGATTGAGCTGACCGGCTCAGAGTCGGAGTCTTTCCCCCTCGGACAGAAGAGTTTTTGGTAGCTTTAGGCATCAGAAAATTGGGATTTGAAAAATAAAAAAAATACGAGTAAAGTGGATATTGAAAAGCAGGAGTAAATTCTGTGTAAGAAGTGGAGATTGACTTGTAGTCACTGGTCAGTAAGTTAAATGATAGATGGAAGGCGGATGCTGGCAAGTTTGGACACAAGAGGGACACCTTGTGAACCTTGTGACTTGTCTCAGCAAAGTCTCAAAGCCGAGTAACAAGCCAGGCTTATGACTCAAGACTCTTCAAGCATGCAAGAGGAAACATGGGGCTTGCTCAGTTTAACAAGTCAACGGGTTTAGTAAAACAAAATCATGACAATATATCATATTGCAAAGGTTGGCTGAAACTCGCTGTTCCGTACTCTTACTCTGTTTAATCTTAGGCACTGAGATTCATACTCTGTTTCATTCCGTGCCATGTGTGAGTAACTAGATTCTCACATTGCTTTATGACATAAAACTCACACCCTATGGATGGCGCTTCCCTGCACACTTTTCCCCTAGAAACACTCATACAGTTTCTCTGTATGAGTACTCAGACTCATACAGATTGCTAATCTGAAGCCACGTAGAGTCTGAGTAGAGTATTGCCCTACCCATTTGGCCATCCCTGGTCAGAGCTGGCAGAATGGTTGCATGACAGCAATTCCAGGTGAGCTGTTGCTCTGTGTGTTATGTTGTGTATGGTATCGCTCGAGGGGAACCTGTGAACCCATTGTGAACGTATTGCGAACGAAATTCACGATTGAAGGAAGTTGCGGACTCGGACACCGCAACTTTCCTCAATCGGGTTTTGAACTAAATTATTCCCGCGGTGTGATCCATGATCAGGATTCAAGACCCGTGATCATACGGAAATCTTATTGAAAGTTTTCTCCAGATGTGGAGAACATGACATCAATGTGTTTTGCACATAATGATAGAAAAACTTTACTTGAGAAAGATGTATAAAGCTTTTTTGGAATAAGGTTTGATAAAAGTTAAAGTCTGTTGGAACTTGGGTTTGATAGTTAAAGTGTGTGCATTTTGTTAATCTAAGAGACTCCGCGGATCTCATCTTCTTCTTCTTGTGCTCGATCGAGAGATGATGTATAAAGAGTGAGGATGATTTGTGTTTCATCTCATGAACAAGTAGTTGACTAACATGTCTTTCAATCTTGATTATTTTACACTTGTGCTGAGTTTTTTGTTAGTCTTTGTTGCATTTGATTTGAATCGGTAAGCCCTTATTTTCGAAGATCAATTAATCAACATATCCCATCATACCATACCTAATCCTTTCTTTTTCTATCGTAATGAAATGATTCTCAATTTTTTTTTTAGATGGAATAATGAAGGAGCTCCAGGTACTCATTTGAGTTTAGAAAGAAATCATAAATTCCATCGATCAAGTTTTATAAAAGGATTAATTAATGGAGTTCCTACTTACGATACTTGTGCTTTACCTCATGGACCAATACCTATTTTAAAACAAGGTGATGCACCATTTGTGAGTAATCGATTTCTTTTTTCATCTTTGTTCGTTGTCAATCTGACTGAAAATAATAGTCACAAGGTGAATTATCGTACCAAAATGCTATACATTGTCCTCATGGAATTCGAAACCTTGAAAGAGGTAAAGTCATGAAACATCGTCTTCTGACTCAAGTAGGCTGAGCATTCATATTCAGTTATTTGGTTTTTGTAGGAATTGTCCTATTAGTCCCTTGCACAAGTAAGTTTAACTGGATCTAAAAACATACGAGGTACTGAACGGAAGTTGAAATTGTCTTTCTATTTACGTAAAGGCTGTGAGGCTACAGAAGTCTTTGCAGAGGTGAAATCGTTGTTGTTCATTTTCTATTAATCAAAAATGGTGAAAAGAATTATACTAATTTTTCTTTACTTCTTTAATTATAGACTCCAATTGCTTTACGTTTACCACAAGAAGGTTTTGATGTATGTTGGGTTAATCTTCCATGTATGTTTTTGATTTTGATTTTTTCTTACTTTTCATAATCAGATTGACGAGTTTTTTTGGGGTTGTAAAGTTCATGGTTTAGGTGATATGCAACTTTCTGGCGAGTTTGTGGCTTTTGCTGTCAACTATCTTGCTGAGAAATCAGTGAGTGGTAAGATCAATGTGGTGACCTATAGTCAAGGTGGTTCAAATGTTAGCTTCTCTTTCAATCATTTCAAACTCTCAACACGGAATTAAGACTGATGATCTGGGGGTTTTTTTTTGGTGATGGTTGGCTCATAAGGCTCAATGGGCAATCAGTTTGTCAAATCTCCTTTCAAATGATCTTCAAGCTCTTTTTGATTTTTGTCCCCATTGGGTTTAGCTTTTTGGCCATCGATTCGAAATCAAATCATTAACTTTATAACTCTAGCTGCGCCTCATAAAGGTACACTCTTAACACGTCCTATCTGTACTTCTCTTAATCTTCTTGGAGGTTGTTTAACTTCAGTACTTCAGATGGATCGCGTAAGTGTTTTTTTTTTGAAAAATAAGAAATTAGATAAGGGTATGCAGTCATCTTACTTACCCACTCTTTATCTTTTAGAACTCTCGATACATGAATGCAGTTAATAATATAAGTTCTGTGAACGATGGGAAACAAGCTTTGGTACCGACTACTTCGGTTTACACTCTTATCGACGAAATTGTTACGCCTCAAGCTTCTAATCCTGAAGTAAATTGATTTGACAAAACATTTGAAAGTGTACGGAGGAAAAGAAACGTTTTTGATTGATCTTCTATCACCTGTTGCGTATATGTATAGGGAGCTTCATATGTGACTGGAGCCTCAAATATTGCTATTCAAGATGCGTGTAGTAAAGCCCATGTTGTTGAACACTTGTTAGTTCTTGTTTATTGAACCTTAATTTCAACTCGTATCTATTACTGATTGATATCTTGAACATTTCTACCTAATTAGTGGCTTGATATTTGATTTGGCTACTTATGGATTAGTATACGATGCCTTGATTCATGGTAGACCGGCAAGTCTAAGAACGTTTGATCGTAAGCCATGAAAAACCTCAAGTGAATCTTTTCTTCAAAGCTTTCACTGATCATGAATCTAAACTATGTTATTCTTTAGGCAAATATTGTGAAAAGCATTGTAGGTGGTTTTTGATAATCGGATCACACAAGGTCTTAATACTTTGATACTCAACGAATGGTTCGACACTTCTCATGGGTTGGTAGATAAAAACTTGGCTCACTTTGCACTTGAACTTCCACTTGATATTCAAGCTACTTGGAGAACTTTATTTGGAAACTTTTTTGATAGGTTAAACATGATTAAAAGAACTCTTACTTCATTTGTAAGTCTGTTTTAGTGAAAGAGAAAGATTAAACGACAACTAATTCTAATTTTCATATGATCTTGATTTCAGCGCGTACCAGCTGAACCACTTTTGATGGTACAATAAACATTTCCATAAATATCTTTTTGATTAAATTGAAACTGATCTTGGGATTTTTCTTCTGACAATCCAATCCATAGCCTTATGTTTGTCAAAAAGGTTTTGCACCAATTGATAGTTGTAGTAGTACAGATGTAGGATTTTGTGAAAATAATCCTACTGTGAAACTTTTCTAGAAAAAGTAAAGAAAACTTTTTCAAGATCTTTTACATCAAATACATATTTTTATGGAGTTTGAATTCTTTGAAAACATGTAGTGTGGTTCTGGGGAAAAGTTTAGTTGAATGTTAGTGAATATATGGTTAAGAAACCAGAGCTTTTGATATACATACATGTAGAAAAGTATTTTATTTAAAGAAATTGAAAATTATTGTTTTGTGAAAAATTGTGGAAAAAGGTGGTGATGAAGTGTTTGATAAAATGAGCACTAGGAATGATCTACAGCCTATGATTTGGGTATGATCATATTTTCCTGTTACCAATTGCCACTAGAACCTCCTCACTTTCCTGATCATGTCAAGCTCTTCTGATACCAACTCTGATGTGTCATCAATATCTTTTTGAAATATGGATAATCTCCTGAAAGTCAACTTCCAAACCAGCACAGACTTCTTATCTTGAATAACATCCCCTAGGAAACCCTGTAGAACCTCAAGACTCTGTGGTAACCAGTATACGCAGGAGATTCTTGAGGGTAGAAATGTGTGATTTTGTGAACTCTGCCACATGGACAAGCTCATTGCTGGAAATCCTGGTACAAATCAACAAGCTAGCAAACAGTTTCAGCCATCTGGTCATCCTATCAGCAGATACTTCAACACTGTTTGAAAGGCTATAGTGTCTCTAGTATATATATATGTATTTTCCAACCTACTGGAGGTGAGATACATCTAAAAGAAATTAGAAACAGCCCACAATTCACCCCCCTACTCCAACAATTGTGTGGGTACCACGAATAACACCCAAATTTCTTGTGTTGGTTCTCCTGATCAACATTCAGCTCATCAAAACTGAAAAGGACTACTCATGCAAGATATCCTAATTCTGGATGTTCCTTCAACAGGTTGTTTACATTTGTTCATGCCTGTTTAGAAGGATCACATGCTGATGCACATGTTCCTCACCAAGCATTAGAAGAACAACAATTTCTTTCCAAAAGATAAACAATATCTTCTTTCAAACAACAAGATCTAGCTATTCCACCTATTGACATTGATCTCTTTATTTGAACCAGATTGGTTTTACATTGCCAACACTGGATAATCCAACATGTCAGGGTTTCTTACACTCTATCAATCAGGAATGGAAGCATTTTGACTTAAAACCACAGACTCCAAAGGAGCTTTAAAAATATTTCCCTTATGCACTTCAGATCATCATCAAAAGACTCTTTGGTGTTTCAAATATGGAATTTATTGGCTCATATGCCCTCTTACTGGTACATAATCTAAGTCTGGTTGAAAAGATGTCACAGAATTATATGGAAGCACTAGTGGCACATAAAGGAATCAGAGATTCCTGATTAGATCAGACAACACCACTACCAGTTTAACAGTCTTAGATGGAGATGAAGTATCCAGAGAAAGAATGTTAAATAGGATGTGTTGTTGAAGAGAAACTTTCTAAGGATTGATGAATAAGAGCATCCCCAACGCGCCGCCGGAAACGTAACCTTTACATAGGGTTTACCTAGCATTTCTGACAGAAACGTAATGTCAAAATTACGTTTGCAAAGATTTTCCGAAAAACAGCCTCCAGCGCGAGTAAAAAGTCGCACAGTTGGCCATGGGTGCGATTTCGTTTATTCCGCCAGCTGGAATACGTACGGTTTGTTCCAATTGTTTCCAGCTGAGCCGGAAACCTCGGAAAACGTGATTTCTCACAATTTGGACACGTTGAGACCACGAAACTCGCCTCTTTCGTTCCTTCGTGTCCTATCTCAAAGCTTGAAGCACACATTACCACGACCTCGATCAGATCAAGCGGCCAATCCATGCAATTGATCTGATCGTGTCCTATCCTTAGACAGGGGTAGAAAACTGAATCTCTTATTCAGCTTGCGCGGTGCTGCCTACTGAAGCTGAAGCTGAAATACAGGTGTCCAAGTGTCATTTGTGACACCTGTACCAGGTTTCCAGTTCCCGGCGCGTTGGGGATTAAGGCTTGGACCCGGCCCGGCCCGGCCATCAGAAACTACGCCGATCAGACCCCTTGTTTTTCAGCTGCCCGGCCCGGCACGGCCCGGCCAAAAAAAAAATTCTCGTAATGTGGCTCAGCAACGTGGAAATTGATGAAACCAGGTGCCTTATATCACTCACCATGGCTCCTAAACACCCCCATTCCTCCAATGATAGTGTGATCACAATCTCAGACTCTCCTTTACAAGTCAAGCCCGCTGCAAAAAGCAAGAAAATCAAACTCGACAACTCACACAAGCTCTCATGGGTCTGGCAGCATTTCATAACTGAGTACGATAAAGGGTCAAAGGAGAAGCAGAACATCTGTCAAGTCCCTCATCCATCTGGAGGAGGTAAAGTCTGTGGAGCGGTGTTTGCCGTTGATAAATCTTCCAGCACAAGATCATTGTCCCGACATCTGGAACACCGACACGAGATATACGAAAACACTGTTGCCGAAGCTGGGATGATGAGGGACTATGTGACCAATGGGAAGATCGAGAAGGTACATTGATAATTCACAAGCTTCATATGTCCTTTTTGTGTCCTCTTTCTGACTATTGTATTTTGATCCTAGCCTCTCAAGCTCACCCGCGAGAACTTAAAGAACAAACTCCTTCGCCTCATCATCATGAAGGAGCTTCCGTTTTCTTTTGTCAATTCTCCCGACCTGCGAAAACTTCTTGAGCTGTGTAACCCTGCTGTTACACCACTCCTTGTTGGCTCGGACACTCTTGGAGATGCCGTCAGAAAGAACTTTCACGAAATGAAAGGAGTGATGGAGGAATACTTTGAAAATCAAACATTGGTCAGCATCACCTGTGACTGCTGGACATCTCTGAATCGAAAATCAGTCTTGGGTGCCACAGTCCACTGGATCGATGAGAAATTTGAACTTCAAGAAGTCATATTGTGTCTCAAAGAGATCGAAGGCGAGCATACTGGTGTCAACATTGCCAATCATCTTATTCCTGTTCTTAGAGAGTATGGACTCCTTGAAAAGGTTTTCTGTGTTGTTGCTGACAACGCCAGTTCAAATGGTACAATGGCCGATGCTCTTCAAGCAGTCTGTCCAAACTTCAAGCGAGATCAAAATCTCCTCGGATGTGCTGCACATGTCATCAACCTTGTTGCTCGAGATGGACTCAAGGCATTCTCTAGAAGACTTGGCGAAGATGGACCAGTCCCACACGACCTTGCTGTTCTTCTTGAACCGATGCAAACCTCTGACGTCAACTCGGTCCTTACTCGGCTCCATAAGCTCATTGCTTGGATTTACAAATCACCTCAGCGCTTACAGTCTTTCCTCAAGCAAGTTGAGGCAGACTTAGGCTATGCGCTCAACCTTGTCCGCAACGTCGACACACGATGGAACTCCGACCTCGATTGTTATCGCCGAGCATACCGGTTACGGGTTTCTATCAATACAAAATGTCAAAATGATCCCGACTATAGGCAGTACGCCTTGTCAGAGGATGAATGGAAGCTTATAGGACACCTTGTCGAATTTCTTGAACCTTTTGAGATTGCCACCAAAGATCTTTCAGCAAGCAAATACCCAAGCCTTGGCGATGTAATTCCAGTATACGAGTGGATTATCAAGAAGCTGAATTTGGTATGTTTTGTTCTTGATTGTATTTCTCGATCAACTTTATTTCAACTCTCACTTTTCTTACTGAATACGCCGTACTTTTCTAGAGCTGGTGTAACTACGAGGCTCAAGAGCTCCGACAAGCGATTCAACCAATGAAGACCAAGACCGAACTGTACTACGAGAAGGTCCTCAAAAAGCCAGCGTACTTGTGTGCGCTTCTGCTTGACCCACGTAGCAAGGATCAAGAATTGACCAATGAAACTCTGGCCCTTGCCGGCATCGATCATCGTGACGAGTGGAAAACACACTTTCTGAACGAGTGTAGTAAATTTCATCAAGATGGCCAATTGATCACCCTCGAAGACCCTGTACCACCACCCGAAGATCGCCCCCGAACCTTTGTAACCAAAAAGAAAGCTCAAGGAATTGAGGCTGAGCTACAAACATACCTCTCGACCAAACGAGAGAACGAGGATTATCACCCACTCAAGTTCTGGCGCGAAGAGGGGCATCGATTCCCCATTCTATCCAAGATGGCGCAGATTTTCTTAGCTATCCCAGCGACCAGCACCCCATCCGAGCGATCGTTCTCATCTGCGGGTAGGACCATCACCGATCTTCGCAGCTCAATGAAAATCTCGACTCTCGAAGCAACGGTATGCCTCAAAAGCTTTGATAAATTCATCAAGTAGATTCACTTTGTATTCATACAGTACTTAAAGTTATATCTAAGATGTGCTCCAACCTCCTCACCTCACCTCATCGAGTCCATCCCCCTTTCCGAGCATCTGAGCTCCCTGTTTAGTGCCACCAATATACATACAGTAGTCAAATTCAGCTTATAGATGTGCCCCAACCTCTTCTCCTCTCCTCAACGAGTCCATTTGCCCTCATTTGACCCCTTTCCGAGCCTCTGAGCTCCCTTTTTAGTGCCACCAATCCCTCGGGCCCTTTTGGGCCGGCCCGTCCGGCTCGCCCGAGAGCACAGCGCTCACGGGCCACATACCTTTTTAAAAGAGTCGTTTAAGGCCCGTGCCCGGCTCGGCCCGAGCCCGCCCGGGTGGTCCTGGTGCCGGGTCCAAGCCTTATTGGGGATGCTCTAAGAAAGGTATCTTGGAAGTTGGAATCTGATTTAGTGAATTAAGAAATACAACATGTGATTAGGTTAAAGTTCTGTCAGAAAGGTTGTAAGTTCAAATTCACGCCGGGCAAATCGAGGTCATGGAGTGAATACAGGTTGCGCGGTCATGTTGAAAACAGAAGAGATTTCCGCACCCTGAGTCATGTCATGGCTGCATGACAGCTCCTCATGAATTGCACCCCGCCAGTCATACAAGTGACATGGGTATTTGGCCCACAATAACAGGCAAATACAGATCCCGTGAGGGACTTATAGCTATGTGACATGTACATTTCAGTACATACTCAAATACATGTGATTGGTGTGACATATACAGGGTGTGTACAGGATAACAAGTCCTGCATGCCTGACAGGTGCCCCAGGTCCTGACATGCATTCAGGACCATGCACCCTGTATGCACTGCATGACCTGAATTTGCCCGGCGTGATTTACACATAATAGAAAATGCAGTTTTGAAACATGTAAAACATTAAAAGAAGTTGGAAACGATAATTTGTTACAACAGCTTATAGGTGAGTTTGAATTAATTGGATCACACTTTTGTATTCATCACACTTTTGTATTTATTGCACTTTTGTATTCAATTTTGTATCATCATCAAAACCAAAACACAGATTTGTAATCACTGTAGGATATATGTTTTATCTTTAGTTTGAGTTTGGGTTTGAAGATACAAGGTAGGAGACAAAATAATATATGTGTTATATTTTATTGAGTTTGAAGATACAAAATAGGAAATGAAAGCATATAATAGATAAGAATATAATGAAATAAAAAACATAATTGAATAGTAACAATACATATGAATGATATATATTATTAAATAGTATCCATCATCACTTGCCTTCATCCCCCTCTTGGAACTCTTGGAACTCTTGGAACTCTGCTAGAATACCAGCTTCATCCTTCAACCACTCCCATCCATAATCTGGGTCCATGTAGTAGAAGAAAGCGGTATTGTTCATGTTTAACTTGTTTGCTACTGTGATAATGTGTTGTGGTTTGGGTTGCTTTATGCATTCCTGGTTGAAGATTGACATGGATTCTTGTCACATTGGATGTTGATTGGATCTAATTTTGGAAATAGCCACCTTATTGCTGTCATTGATATCCTCTATCAGCCCTGAGTACTACACCAGAGTACCAATGGGCAACACATTATAAGGAAAATATCAAAAATAGCAATTACAACTCAAGCCTCAGTTTCAAGAGTCAAGTTACATATGATTTAGTGTATGTAACATGTGCAAAATTTACATCAAAAAGTTTGTATGCACACAACTTTGATGTAAAATGAATCAAGTTGTGGGTGTGCTCATATTATTGGAGGTGTGCCAAAGCATGGTTGTTTATTTTTCTTGTCCCTAGGCTCCCACGGTGTATTTCCCTTAAAAAATTGCTTGACACCACAAGAATTCTTCATTCCATCAAAACTTGTTGTTTCATCAATACTATGAAAATATTTTGTATTTTGTAATCACAATATATTTATTTCATTTGTGATCCTATCACAGCAGCAATTCAATTTCCAAAATTCAAAGTACCAAAATTGAATATGCCATCAAGATTGGCATCCAAATTCATTGGCAAAAAAGTGATCAATTGGTGTGTTTTCTACAGGAGAATCTCCAATGACAGATTCTCCAAGTGCAGGTCAAAATCAATGTCTAGAGTGGTTGCCTCCAACTGTTTTCAGCAACTCAAATTTGGTCTTGGTGTGATATCTCAAAAGGCATACCAACCCTCATTTTTGAAATATATTTTGTGTCCATGCACACACACTGCAAATATAAAAGTGTTTCTCTGAGGTGAAAAATGATTGAACTTAATGCACAGAATGATCAATAATGCAGATTCAATGCATTCTTAATCATTTTGCAAATTGAATGTAATCATCTTTCACCTTGGCAAATTATGTTTGCAGTGCCAGATGTAAGAAGTGAAATATACTTATAACTCAATAGTAACGGTGTTACTGTAATTAAACATCCCAATGACTATCCTTTACCACCTTCCACCACCATTGCTGTCCTGATTCAAACTACACAACTCAATCAACACCCAGCATGGCTTGTTCTAAATACAGTACTGATGAAAAAGTGGCTTCCCATCCACCAAAAATAAAACAAAACCTCAATCAAAATGGGCTGCATAAATCCTGTGCATCACACTATTTTCTGCCAATCTGGCCTCTGTTTTTGATAAGTTACACTATCTGCTTATGGAACTGGGACACAGAATATCTCATCTTTTGAACTGGTATTATGATGATGATCTGATGCATCAAGTAGACATGAGACACTTTGATCCCACTACTCCACCCCTCCATTGAATTCCATCAAACTATATTCTCATTGAATGTAATCTAATCAATGAGTTGGGCCTGGTCAAGCTTGAGTTGAGCAAGATATTTGCAGAAGATTCTTAGAATCGCAGAACACTGGATGTCCAAGGATTTCTCTATGCAATCTGTGGTTTTAGCTTTGAAGGAGATTGATGAAGCTCATACTGGTGAAAACATGGCTGCCCTCATCATGAACACATTATATCAATTCAAAAGAACTCTACTGCATCACTGCTGACAATGCTTTGAATAATGTAACCATGAGGCAAGAGCTTAAAAGACTCATACCCTGTTTAGAGGAACCTCCATGGTGTTGCCCATGTTATAAATCTTGTTGCCAAAGCCAGAGTATTGATTTTCAACAGCAAGACTCCCCCCAATACCCTTAGTGCATTAGGTCCTCAATTACCTCCAGAAAACAGTGTTCCCAATGGCACTCTTTCTTTGATTCAACCTACCCCACATCTAGAAGCCCACTGAATCCTCACTCAAATTCAAGGTTTCCACAAACAAGTCCAATTGAGCACCCAGCTCAAACAGGCTCTTGGCCAATGTATTGCCAGTTGCTTACAGTCTCAGAAGGTCAGACTCACCCACAAGGTTTCAACTCAATGGTCTTCAACCTTTTACTCTCTTGAGCATTTTTTTGGACTCAAGAAATTCCTTCAGTATTATCGTAAAATCAACAAATCTTTGGATCCTTGCCTGCATATCTTACCTTCTCACAAAATGCCCAACTATCAATGGCTTCTTAAGCAACTTGAAAAGGTGTCTTTCTATTCATATTTACTGGTTTACAACAATTACAAGTGGGTGTTACATACAAATACAGGGGAAGTAGGGGCAAAAGTCTGCAGCAAAAAAAGATGTGAGGGAATCAAGTTCCTTGGTATCCTTTGGACAGTTATGAGCATCTAAGAAAGGTGCACAAAAAGTTTCTTTGGTCCAAGAAACTTCACAGTGAGGTGTCAAAGTATTATAAGGATGGCAAGTCTCTCCACCAAAAAGCCTTGACCCAGTTGACCCTCACTGTGGCCAGAACAAGCAAGCTTGTCCAGAATCCGTCGTTGGCGCTCAGGTTGCAAGCAACACCTTGGGACTCTGATGAGTTTATGGCTGTGCTTGTTGAGTTGGAAGCAAAATTAAGTCCCTCTTGAGCTGGAAGCTTTTCTTGCACAGGTGTCTCTTGCGCTAGCGCGTGCCCCCAAAAAGTCCCTACGTCAAATAAGAAAGTTTTACTCACAGAAGGTGAGATTTTTGCCTTAACCTAAGTATAAGGCCCTGCTGTCGGACTGAGTATACTACAGACCGACCGATAAAGTCCCTCGATTTCCCTCGATGTCAGGAACTTTGAATCTCTCAATTGTATTTCGTTCCGCTTTTCCTTCCATACATGGAAAGAAACGCGGAACGAATTTGAAGGTACATATTCATAAATACACAATATGTACATCAACGGTCACCGGTGTCACGGCTGGGAAGGTAGAGTGTGATAACAAATTTCCCCGCTTACCCTGACAGATCCACACGATGCAGATGAAAACACACACAGCCTGTCACTCAACAGCAAGCTTAAGAAGGAGTCTGTGGCGGGCTCAAACATATGTTTCACTGTCCTCCTCTTGTGAAGCTCCGCATATTTCTCATCTTTGACCATATACATCAGCAAGTGGCGTCTTTCTTTTTGGCAATCAAAAATGTTACCTCGAAAGACTACTCGCACATGCTTGGCTTTATGGGTCATTGCTTCATTTAGAACCGAGATCAAAGAGTACGCGCCTTCATCTCTGTTACCTTTGTTTTGATCCTATCTTTATGGAAGAATACTCACTAACAAATCTCTATGTACATTGCCTTTCTTGAAGTGGTCTCGAACGTATGTGGTACCGTGGTTCAGTGCCCTCGAGGTCAGAAGCTGGGGTGAAGAAGGTTCGATCACCTAATTTCTTGCAAGGGATGCTGTATGGAGTCCCGAACTACGACACTTGCGCCTCTCCCGATGGACCCATACCTTCTTCGATGCCGGGTGATGCACCTTTTGTCAGTATCAGCCCATTTCCGCATCGCAGAACTTACTCGTGCCCAGCGCGCAAAACATGATTCACTGAGATACATTTTTACATTGATGATTTAGTCACAAGGGCAAAATTCCTATAAACGTGCCATTACCTGTCCCCGTGGAATTCAAAACCTATCTGGAGGTAAGGCACTCTTCCTTTTTAACAGGTTGAGATCAATTCACTGAACATGTTTATAGGAGTCGTTTTACTGGTTCCATGCACAAGTGAGTCGACAGTTCTTTTTGAGATGTGATATGTTCAAGAAATCAATGTCTCCTTCAATTTTTTCAGGCTGTGATGCGGCGGAAATTTTTGCCGAGGTAGAACAACTCAATCCTCCCATTCGACTCTGACAAGCAAGTTGAATCGTGGTGTGTTTTATTGCCAGACTCCATTGCTTACACGGCTTCCAAAAGCCGGTTTCGACGTGTGTTGGGTAAATCTGCCATGTACGTAGGCTGCTTAGCTTATGTCCTGTGAGCTCTGATTTTTTGTTAGCTCAAGATCATTCTACATCTCCCAGTCCATGGTCTAGGGGACATGCAGCTTTCGGGGGAGTTCGTGGCGTACGCTGTTAGCCACCTTGCCAACTCCTCATCTAGTGGCAAGGTAAATGTTGTGGCCTATAGTCAAGGCGGCGCAAACGTTAGTAGACCTTCTGTTTTTTGTGTCCCATTTACTACTATCGGCCCCACTAACCACTTGACTGATTTATAGGCTCAGTGGGCTATCAGTCTGTCATTTCCTCCGAGATTCTACGCAAGAACAGTATCACGTCCTGACATTCTGCGCTGGTTTAATTTAGCTTTTTGGCCATCTATCCGCAGTCAAATCATCAACCTCGTGACGATAGCTTCACCACACAAAGGAACCTTATTCACGGATCCCATGTGCAAGGTTCTGAACGTTATTGGAGGATGTTTGACTTCCGTCTTGCAGATGAGTCCGGTGAGTTTCCTTTATAAAGAAAAGTCCACAAAACGCTTCCATCTAAGCAAACTCGCACTTGAATTTCGTCTTCAGAACTCTCGATACAACAGTGCAGTGTTTAAAAGGTCTATCGAAAATGGTGGACAGGAGGCATTAGTTCCGACCACTTCGATCTATACGTTTGGTGATCAGTTGGTTTTACCTCAGGTGTCAAACTCAAACGTGAGTACCTATAAGCAAAATGATCGTTATGCCAGAATTTTAAGCAAGTCGTGTCAACCTTCTTACGACCTTGTGAAACGCATTTAGGGGGCCTCTTATCTATCCGGAGCTTCAAATATTGCCCTTTCAGAAGCATGCGGCAGAAATCATATCATAGAGCACTTGTACGCGTTTGTCGTGTATCTCTTGAAGCAAGTGACAAGGGGGTTGACTAATTGAATGTATCTCTCGTGAACTTTCAAGCGGTATTGTCTATGACATGGCTACGTATGGTTTGGTTTACGATGCTTTGAGTCACGGTCGACCCGCGAGTCTAGAAAGCTTTGATCGTAAGTGAAATGAGTTATCGTACAATGTGTCTTAATGGTCAACTCACACTATTTGCATTATCGATAACAGGAAAGTATTGCGAAAGCCATTGTACGTTGAGCCATTTAAGACTAACCAAGCGGAGGATCAAGCACGCGAATTCTAATGAAGGTCATGACGCAATCAGATAAAAACCTTTTGAGGACATCGCTTAAGCTTCCGTCACATGTCCGGACATTGTGGCGAGGGCTGGTCGGGAGACCCATGGATCGTCTCGATAGGATGAAAAAGGTCTATACTTTCTCAGTAAGCCCAATTTTGATCCAAATGTGAAGGAAAATACCAGATTTTGTCAACTTATGTACCAACACTTGAATTTCCACCGGAATTTCAGGGCTTGCCCAGTGAACCACCATTGATGGTACGTCCTCCTGCATCTGTATAGTATCACCATTATTCATCTTCTGATCATTTGTATATGTTCAGCCTTATGTGTGTGAAAAAGGATATGCGCCACAGAGCCACTGCTCCACTATTGGTTTCTGTCAGAATCGATCTAACAAGACCGCTATCAAGACATCTCGACGCAATATAAGCGCCATCGCTCGCGTATACACCACTCAAATCGTTTTACCGTCATTTTCCCGGTGGGTAGTGGTTGTCGGCAAGGCTGCTGATGTCACTTCAGGATCGTACACACACTTGCTACCATCCTGAAAGCCCTTCATGCTGTGCATACAGCTAGCTCAGCATTAGTCCCTGTTCCATCATTTGACATTCTTTCGTTACTATCTTGTTTGTTCCATTAAGCTCAATTCAGCGCTGCCGCGTCATCAACTATGAGAGATACAAGTCCGATATATGTGCTCTTGAAACCTTTGTCTAGATATATATATTATATAAAACAAGGATATCTTTGTCTGTTTTCATCTTCTCTCTCAAACATTCCTTCATCTTTTTACTTCCCTCCTTTCAGAATTTGCTTCATTTCTATCATCACTCATAAATCAAGCCCTTGAGGGTTCATACTGATTTCGTTGTGATTTCATTTGGGTCTGCTTGTTGTTCGTAGTTAGCTTTCCTTATTTTGTTCCTCTTAGGGATTTACAATCAAACATTCTTTTATCTGTTTTTCTTGCCACCTTTCCAACAAGTGCCTCTTGCTCCATCACTCATACGTGATACAAAGCCTTTAGATCCTATACTCACACCACCGCGACCCTCTCTAGCGCGTTTCTGATTTTTTTGCCTGGCACATGCAATTACAAGGACACTGTCAGACTTTGAATGTCTTTTGGATAGCTGAGGTCTTGGGGCTGAAATTCAATGAATTCTTCGAGTTGTTGTGACCAAGCTATGAAACTGCTCGTATGTATAACTGATCATTTGGATAACTCTATATTTATGTTTTTTGGGAATGATGGCGGCGGTGCAGGATTTCCACGCGTTTAACACTTGAAAACATGGCTCTTGTAAGCCGATTGAAGTGAATGATATATACTCACCGTACGGAGTGACCTTCGAAGTATGGATCACATGAAATGGCACATAATTCAGTGCCCAAAGACACCATCCCGTTGATCAAAGGAGCCGCTTAGTTGAGCTCACCTCCCTTCAGACTTTTCAGTCAACCTTGGACGCCCCATGGAAAACCCCTGTATCAAGACTGCTTGGTCATGATCCAGTTTGGTTTTCGAGTGAGATGCCAATGTACGAAGTGTCGAGAAGTGACAAGATTGGGTCGATGTGAAATCCAGGGAAACAAATAGGTGTAAAATTCGATCTGAGGTGGCTCATATGGAATCTTACACACCAAAAATTTTACACTCATTATCTGGTGGAAAGATTCTGAGTGTAAAATTCAATATTGCTGGGCTCAGGATGCAATTTTCCACCCTAGTTTTTCCACCTTTTGTTTTCCACTGGCGAGAAAAAATGGAAAAAAGGTGGAGTGCATGCGTCTCAGTTACTTCAGAACTCATATATACTCAGCGTACCGTAACCCAGTGACATTGAAAGTGATGAAGACCCATAACGCAGTCATCAAAAATACCATCGCGGTAATCAAAACGGAGGCTCAGTTTTACCGCTCTCCAGTCCACGTTGAACGTCCCAACCTCACCACCTTGAAGACCTTTTGATTAAGATCAGATTAGGTTTTTTTGAAGAGTGATAGATATACAAAGGGTGGTCAACGTGAACTCCAGTTTTGCAAGTAACAGATGAACGGAAAACCAAGACATTTGATGTTAAATTACTCAATGTGATCAAAGGCAACGGGATTTTGCAATCACTCAGAAAGTCCAACACTTTTTGAGTTCTGGTTGAATCCTCAGCACATTAAAGACTTAAATACTTCTCCCATCAAATCATGACTCTTTACCATCCATCATTAGCCATCAGAACTTCGTGACTCAAATTCTAAATCCCAATCAATAATCACAACCTTGCTCTTTTAGATACAACAAGAAACAAACCAAGAAATCATCAAGCCTAAGCACATTATGTCATCATCCCAAACTGACAATACACCCACTGAAGAAAACAACGACACCATCCGAATAAATATGAACTTCCCAATCCCCCCGAGTCCGTTCAAATCAAAGTTGTTTTGGAGGAATGGACCAGATACCAGACCTACTGTCCAGGAGATGGTACTCCGTTTCGAAGAGCATTATGAATTAGAAAGGATTGAGAATTTTTTGAAAGAAGAAACTGTTTTCTTGAAAATTTTTAGGGAAGATTCAACCGAACAGAAATCAAATGAAGAAGTAAATCAACTTGAACCTCCAACTAGCACTCCAACTTCTCTTGACCCCAAGCGAATTTATAATAAGTTTTTCAGAATTTTTTTAGGTATATACCATAAATTTCTTGGTGATAATTGAAACTGACCTCGCTCACTCAAATTTTTGCGAGTAAAAAATTGTAAATATCAGTCGCACTGGCCTGCCATCGGTTTCTTTTTTATCCCACCACAACCATTTATTTGTGTGCTGTTTAAATCTCGACATATTTGTAGCTTGACTTGAAATCTTGTGTAGGATTGTCTTGTGTCGTTGTTTGCGAGTGGCTGTGCTTCCAAAGTTAAAAACAATTACAAGTTGCTTTTTCATGCCAAAGTCTCGTCGCCTACCTGCTTGCATCTCAATTCCTATTCTATTTATGCGATATTTCAATATGTGGAGTCGATTTGGAAGCCAGAGGTGTTATTTTGTGAGTGAAGAGTGTCCTTTTTTTTGCTCGTTTTTTCCACCATGACATTACGAGGATTGTACTCAAGCCGGATGTGCGACGTGCGTTATTCCAAATCATGTGGTGCACACTCGGCCGCAGTTATGCGGCTAGCACTGCGGATGCTTGTGCACTGAACCCAACTTCGAATCGCTACGAGTCTGAAGAAGTTTGAGTGCTGGTTGGAGGTTCGAGTTGATCTACTTCTTCATTTGCTTTTGATTCGGTTACATCTTCCATAAAAATTTTCAAGAAAACAGATTCTTCTTGTGATAATCTCTCAATCCTTTTGATTTCCTTCCATTTCCTCATGCTGTTCAAAATAGCGCAGCACTTCCTGGACGGTGGGTCTAGCATCTGGTACATGTCTTTCTTCAGATATACTTCTTCGACTCTTCGATGGGACCCGGGGTGATCGTTGAATTCAATTTATTCGGACGGTGTCGTTGTTTTCTTCGGTGGGTTGATTGGTAGTTTGAGATGGTGGCATGATGTCAGTAGGCTCAGGCCCGATAATCTCCTGGTTTGTTCTTCTTGTATCTGAAGGAGGACCTGGATAAGACTGTTATCGTAGATGTAGATTTAGAATTTGAGTGACGAAGTGGCTGATGACGAATAATGAAGAATTGTTTTCTGATGGGACAAGGATGCAAGGGCAAGAAGCATCTATCCTGCTTTTATTTGTCAATCACGAACTACATGGTGCCATTGTGTCCTGATAAACAATCAACATCTGCACTTTTGTTTCTTTGTAAATCTTCTATTATCAACATATCAAAAACGCATAAAGGTGATGATAACGCATTTGGTAAAACTATTGAATGCCTTTCTGTCTCTTGATACCAAAGATGAAATGGACCTTTTGTTTCTACGTCGAAGTGAATAATAAGTTTATGATCACCGATTCCATTGTCAAAAACGTGCCAATAAATGCATCAATGAACTCATGGTCAATCGGACCTTATCCGGCCTTTGTACTGTTGAAACCCCTACTGAAAGCTACAGTGATCACCCGATTTCTATTGTTTCTTTTGGTCTTTCTCTTTCTTCCCCTTGCCCTTTCCAGCGCGCATTGTCAATACATTTGTGTGCTTTTCAAATCATGTGCGCCCTTTCAAATCTCTGCCTACAAATGCTAAGGAGTCACAAGTCTATTGCCACATTTGTACATCAATGAAAATCATTTGATGACAAGGTGAGCTTGAACTGGATATGGGAGCGAACAACTTCTAAATCCGTTTCCATACTTTGAGACAACTCAGAAACTACATTTGAAAGCCTTTTACGTCTCACCATGTGACCTTGCTCACTTCAAGTCCAACGTTAGGGGTTCTTTCAGTCGATAATTTTTTTATCCACAACAGACGCGAGTACATAAATATATATAAATCGTATTAATCAGCGTGTTAATCAAACCAGAGGCTCAGTTATCCGCCCTCCAGTCATGTTGGACATTTCAATCTCCAGATTTATGATTAAACTGCCAAATGAAGATCCTCAGTGTGCAATGTGAGCGGCTTATATACAAAAGCTCACGGCACTCGTTTTCGTCGTTCCCAAGATCCTCATCTCGATCCATGGGTCGAGCCTCATTCAAGGTCACACAAGCAGAACTAAATTCCCTGGATGGAGTTGTTGAGATGTATAAATTTCCCTCCCCTCTCAAGAGGGAAGGCAATTCTATGTGTTTTCCTCTGTGATTTGGATTCGTGTATGGTTGAAGAGCCAAAGCAAAAAAGGGTATGATTGCTGATTGTCAGTAGGCGATCGCACGATACCATAGCCACGGCGCTAATGGTTGGTATTTGCCTTCAAGTTCCACCCTTTCCCTGTCCATAGTTTCTATATGGTTTCTATATGATCGAGAGCCTCCCTAGGTTAGAATCATTGTACCCCTTTCGACATCCAAGATGGAGACGCTTGTCGCTCATATCATATCACACTTGGTCAACCCATGCGCGGCAGCTTACAAACCCTCGTCTTTTTGTCTCCAGGTACTACCGGGAGGAACTGACCGAGAAAACAACATGCACAAAGAACCCTGGCTATCAGAGTTGATCTTCGACCTTGGCGTCTCCGATGATCTCTTTCTCACTCATAGGCTGGATTATCTTGCACCTTGGCGAAATCGTCCATCATACGCCACAATGAAGGTATATAAACAAAGCAAGTGACCATCAGATTTCATTCTTCATCCCATCTTCTGCATCACTTACATTCAGCATAGTTCACCTGATCTTTGACCTTCTCTGTATATACTTCAACCAGTTCAACTTATTCTTTTTGGTCTTATCCTATCAATCTTTCTTCACTTTTTCGGACTTCACTTTCACAAAACCCTCTACTAAACTTTCAAAATGAGATTTACATTGATCACCCTCCTCGCCTCGCTCAGCGCTTCAGCTGTCCATAGTTCTACGATTGGATCCGGATCACTTGTGGTTAGTAGCTGATTCTCATGAGACCAAAGCTATGATCTCTTAGGATTAACCACTAAAGACTGATTTCTATCCCATAGACGCGTGCCGGCCAGAAATCCATGTCTGATGCTCTCAACAACACCTCTGGAAACGGTAGCTCAATCGGAACCACTACTAACAGCAGCTCAGTAGGAGGCAGCAAAAAACCTAAGCCTGATCACAAGACTCCATCAGGAAACGGTAGCTCAATTGGATCAAGCACCAATGCTACTTCAGGTAACAACGGTACCGACAGTAGCCCAGATCCGGATGACGATCTAACTGGATCATCCAACTCTACTGGTAACGGCACATCAAACCCACTCTTAGGTCCTTTACCAAAGAACGCAACTATTGAAGAGAGAATCACAAGACTTGAAGCCAAGTTAGCAGATCACAAGCAAAAGCTTCAACGTGCCGAAAGTAAATTGGTCATTGAGAAACAAAAGCTCGTAAAGGTAACTTGTAGATCCCTTCCTTATCTGAAATCCTTTGACTTTCACTGATCCTATCTTTTTTTCTTTCTGTTCAAAAAGCTTGGTGGTGGTAATCATACTACAAATTCTTCAGCACCCATTGTGTCTCCTCCCATGAAGAACAACCGCACCGGAACTGGAAATAGCTCAATGCCTATTGGACCTCATATCCAGACCAAGTCCAATATGTCAGGATCAAACACAACACCATCCAAGAAGAACTCAACCCAGTAACTTCTTCCTTGATGTGTTGATTCTATTTTCTTGACGTTTTTTTGGGAAAATTACAGTATTTGTTCTACTGATTTCTATCCTTCATCTTTCGATACTTTCTTACAATAGACTTGTTCATCATTTGTCACTAGTAAACTTTCCTTCTGACCTTGGGTTGTGGTGTGTACTATGAAATCCTCTTGAAAACTTTTAGTAAAATAACACGCTCACCCTTGGGCCATGTCTTATAAGTGAAGAAGATCTTGAAATGGGTTGAATGCCTTCATCGACTTCATCCTGTACTCGAGTTTAAGGACCACTCACTTTACCATCTTTCGGTTCTTCTCCGTGAAACAAAAGGCCTCACAAACCTTCATGTTACTCGTAGTCCAAAAAGAAATTTTGTCAAAAAAACGAAATGTGGCATGAAATTTATGACATCCCGAGTAAAAATTCCATATCCTCATGAGAGAGAATATAAAATCACCCTATCCTAAAAGTTAAACTTGGTCAGTGATGATTTCTCATAACATAATACTCCAAATCTCTTCGGGAGACTCAAGCGCAAAATCACACAGCGGACAAAGCCAAACCATAACAGTAACAATAACAAAAAGTTAAGAAGATGATAGAAATCAACATCAAACATTTCTTATAGCAAAATCCAGAATCCTCAAACCAAAACGGGTCCAGAGAAATCTCCACCCTTCATGATTCCTTCCTTCGGCACACTGACCTTTCAATTTACTCACACGATTGACGGGTTTGAGCAACAAGAAGAGTAGAAAGCAGAATTGAAGAACCAGACCGAACTACTTTACTTACAAAGTTCTTTTAAAACCTGAGTGACAATTCAAAGAGAAAATGGGTCAGACTCATGGTCAGTTTGATTTTCTGTGGAATGAGATACAAATCACATCCTCAGCCATTTACCCACACGGATAATGTACCGTAGCCGAGGCGTCGGTATGACGCGGAAAAACCAGACGCCCCGTGGCCGAGTATCGGATCCTGAACCATTTTGAAATCGATCATCATCAACCCAAAATACGAAATCTCCAAGCTCAAACCTCAAAAGTTCACAATATCATTTCTAATCCAAATCAAGATTCCTTGCATTCATTCAAAAGAAGATGTCAAATAAAGAATTCATCATCGAAGACGATATTTCACTTGGACAATTACTTGATCGAGCTACCAAATCATACGAAGAAGTACAACTAGCTCCATCACCCAATAACCAAGATGTACAAGTAAGTAAGCTTTTTTCAAGCCAGTCATTACCGAAAAGAAAAAGAGTGAAACATGATGTTGATGTGATTTTTCACATTTTGATGTGATTTTACACATTTTGATGATTTGAATTTTAGTCTAAGATTTTATATAGTATATCTGATTTAAAATTATGTGATAAATTAATTAAACGATTAGGAATCTTATCATCAAATGAAACAATAGAAGATATGACAACTAAAGATATCAAATGTTTAATTGTGAATGGATTGATTGGAATGTTAATGGTTTTGAGAAAAACTAATGGTGGTAATGAACGTAAAGCGTTTCTTGAACTTGCAAAAGTAAGTCCTCTCAAATCATCAATCTTTTAATTCTCTGCTGTTACTGATCAGGGGCTTTTTGTTACTATCAAGCATCATTTGTTAGAGTTTATTGAACAAATCGAATCTTATGAAGTGATACAAGTGAATGAAAGATCAAAATACCAAGGACCTTTATCAACAATCAAAAACCAAGCAATAAGAAGGGAAGGCAAGATCATTCAATACAAACTAGAAAAAGAACTACAATTCAAATTAAATGAATACAAAACCCGAAAAGAAGAAAAGAATCGATCCAACCTACATTCAACAAACCATCGATCCACTCGAACTTTAGATAATGAAGAAGAAGAAGAAGAAGGAGAAAGAGAAGTTTACACAACTTGGTTAAAGTTTCTTTATTTAAAATCGTACCAAGAAATCAATAGTATAGACCAAGAACTCGACTTATTAGGCACAAGTTCACAGATGGAAAGCATCCCACACCGATCCAAAAGTACCGAAAAAGACGCAACAGAAGCCGAAGATCTAAGTTGGAAACTAGACCAACTTTCCACCAAATCAGGCCCATTGATCGGTCCTACCGGAAAGATTTTAAGACCATTCACCATCTTACCATCATCTAAATCATTTACATCAGCCACAGATCGTATCCGATTAAGATCCGAAGTGTTTAGACCTGATTGGAATTTACCTACGATGACCATAGATGAATACTTAGATGAACAAGAATCGATGGGCAATTTCTTGAAAGGAGGTGGACCGGCTCAAGCAGAAGAAGAAACGGATGGGGAAAGAGTCAAGCGGGAAGCCGAAGATGATAATCTTAATGGTGAAGAAATGGCAGAAGGACTTAGGAAAAAAGCGATCGAATGGGATGAATTTACTGATACACATAGGAAAGGTGAAGGGAATATGATGAATAGAGGTTAACTTTTTTTTTGAGATATGTTTGTGTATATAGAGAGTCGATTCGATTTGTTTTGATGTTGTTCAGTTTTATATCTTATCAAACGCTTGAATTGGTTTTCTTTTTGTAAAAATAAATGTTATTTTTGATTTATATTGTTTAAACTGATCCATCGCTAATCCAATTCACTCTACAAATGTGTTTTTATTCTGGTGACTTTTGTTCTTTTTGACTCAATGGTTCTACAGAAGCGCAACAAACTCATAAATGGCTTGGGTCCTGTGTTTTATGTCAAAAGGCCATGGATTTGATACTGTTCTCAAATGTTTCCTTGACTGCTGGAATAGCTTCCTGCAAGAGTTTTTGGTCAAGTTTTGAAAGTCAAGCATTCACATGGCCACTTGATTGTATATCTTCATTTTCAGAGACAATCAGATATTGTCACACTTTCATCCAAAGAAACCTTCAGGAATGTCTTTGTGGCATGATATTCTACAGTGTCACTTGAGCTGTCACTTGAAATGGAACCTCTTTAGTAAGATGTTGTGGTGGAATATGCTTGTAAAAAGTGAAATGATGTGTTTGAACTCGATCGATTGCTCTTCTTTTGATTACCTCTTCCTGTTTACCAACTCAACCTCAATCAACTACATCATCATCATTCACTTTATTACTTCACCCAAGACTATCATCAAGAAAACCGATTGGAACTAATCCAAAACTTCAATCTCTCAAGACACTTAGTTCTTGTAGGATGTATTACGTCAGTACAAAACCACAAGTTTCCAAGACAATGGAATTCCAAAAACTGACTATCAATGGATTTGACATCTTTCTTTGGAAATCAAATAGAATCTTAAAGCTTTGATTAAAGCTATAAGAGCCACTAAAACTTTAGCAGATGAAAGATCAGTGATCCAAAAAGAAAGTGCAGCTATTAGAACTAGTTTTAAAGAAGAAGAAACGGCTTATAGGTATAATAATGTAAGTTTTCAATCCTTCATTAAATTCTTTTTTACTTTTTGGTGAAGGTTTTGGATCATTCATCAAATTGTTCTTTTGTTGATATGATTCTTTTTGGGAGGTTCTTTTAGGTGGCTAAATTATTGTACATTCACATGTTAGGACATCCTGCTCATTTTGGACAAATCGAATGTCTTAAATTAGTTGCACAACCAAGGTTAGAGCATCAAGAAAAAAAAATTAAAGAATTTGATTTCTCATGTTTTTTTGTTTGGGGGGGATTCCGGATTAGATTTGCCGATAAGAGACTTGGATATCTTGGGATTATGCTTTTGTTAGATGAAAGTCAAGAAGTTTTAACATTAGTAACTAATAGTTTGAAAAAGTAAGTGGGTTGATGATTTGATTTCGGTCTTTATAAATCAATTGAATGAAGAGAAAAATCTGACTTTGTTATCTTTGATTTTATATTCTTGATTGGGAATTGATTTTGGGATTATGATTGAAAAAAAGTGATATGAATCATTCTAATATGTATGTAGTAGGACTTGCGCTTTGTACGTTTGCGAATATCAGTTCAGAAGTACGAATTCTCTTTTCAAAGACATCTCTTCTATTCCGATGACGAATGATGGCTAATTTATAATCTACGAATCCATTACAAACCCCTCCCCCTACTTTCACAGGAAATGTCAAGAGATTTAGCAAACGAGGTAGAAAAACTTATAGGAAGTAGTAATACGTATATACGAAAAAAGGTTAATATTTTTGATTTCATAAACTGCTTTGGATCTCATCAAACTGATTTCATTTGATCATTCTCAAATCGTTAGGCAGCACTTTGTGCCATGAGGATTATTAAGAAAGTACCTGAATTATTAGACCATTTCGTAGCCAAAGCTACTTCTCTCTTATCTGATCGAAATCATGGTGTTTTACTCTGTGGAGTCACACTTGTGACAGATATGTGTGCCATGGATAGTGATGCACTCAAAACGTTTCGTAAAGTGAGTTTGATTTTATACGTCATGTGTAGGATCAAAGTACTTTGAGGCTCATCTTTGATCCGTCTTCAAAAGGCTGTACCTTTATTAGTGCGACATTTGAAGGCATTGGTCACCACTGGTTATTCACCGGAACATGATGTTTCAGGTATCACTGATCCTTTCTTACAAGTGAAGATTTTGAGATTATTGAGAGTGTTAGGGAAAGGTGATGTGCATGCTAGTGAGACGATGAATGATATCTTGGCTCAGGTGAAAATTGAAAATTTTAGTGGATCACTTTCAGCTAGATTGATAAGCTGATCTGAAAACGCTTTTGGCACTTGAATTTACCTAGGTGGCTACAAATACAGAATCGGCAAAGAATGTCGGCAATTCGATTTTATATGAAGCTGTTCTGACTATTTTGGATATCGAAGCCGAATCGGGTTTAAGAGTTATGGCTATTAATATCTTGGGTAAATTCTTGGGTAACCGAGATAATAATATTCGGTCAGTTTTCTTTTATGGTTTCTTTTTTGATTAAAGACAATGAGCTCCTGTGTTTCTGATACAATCGATTTGAATGATATAAAAATCCAAAAAAAAGATATGTAGCTTTACATACTTTAAACAAAGTAGTTGGGATCGATACAAATGCAGTACAACGACATCGAACCATCATCTTAGATTGTTTAAGAGATGGAGATATATCGATTAGAAGAAGAGCATTAGAACTTTCGTATGCATTGGTTAATGAACAAAACGTTCGAGTGATGATCCGAGAATTATTGGCTTTCTTAGAGGTTGCAGATAATGAATTTAAATTGGGGATGACGACACAGATTTGTTTGGCGGCGGAACGATTTGCTCCTAATAAAAGGTGGCATATTGATACTATGTTGAGGGTCTTGAAATTGGTAAGTCTTGAGATTCTTTCAAAAGCTCTTGACGCGGTAGATTTGATTAATATTGAGATGTACCTTCTTTGATTGGTTTGTATTCAGGCTGGAAACTATGTTCGAGAAGAAGTTTTATCTGCTTTTGTTAGATTGATTTGTCATACACCTGAATTACAAGCTTATACAACTCAAAAATTGTATTTAGCTCTAAGACAAGATGTTTCACAAGAATCTTTAACTTTAGCTGGTCTTTGGGTTATTGGTGAATTCGGTGAAGTTATACTTAGAAGTCATGGTGGTGGTGTAAACCTTGAATCTGAAGAACTTGTACAAGAGGTATGATTAATACTTGATGTTTGCATTTTCACGGATTGCTAGAGATACTGATGATTCTGTGTGGATTGGTTCGAAGGTTAAAGAGACAGATATAGTTGAATTAATCGATCTAGTACTTCTCTCACCATACGTAAACCAATTAATCCGACAATTCGCCTTAACAGCCTTGGCTAAATTCTCATCAAGACTTTCACCTTCAGCATTTTCACAACAAACTATAAATCAAATCCTTTCAAGATATATGTCTTCATCTGAATTAGAAATTCAACAAAGAGCAGTAGAGTTTAGTCAACTACTTGGAATGTCGGAAATCAAAACCGGGGTTTTAGAACGAATGCCTCCACCTGAACTTAAGGCTTCGGTTATGGGAACTGTTAGTGAGAAAAGAGCCGTTGGATCTACAAGGGCTGATAAAGATGTAAGTAAACTTTTGAAAAATGATTTGATTGATTGTTTTTTTACTAAAGCTCTGGTTCTGTCGATTCTTTTTTTATTGAAACACAGTCATTGGTTGATCTTATGGGAGATGAGATTAGTAATACAAATCAAGGAAATGAGAACGCACCTGCAGTAGTATCAACTCAAACTACACAAGACCTTTTAGCAGATATTTTTGGAGGAGGAGATCCAGGAACGAACGTGACCAATAATCAAGGTCCACCCAAATCATCTGTGAATGATATTCTTGGTCTCTTTAATTCGACTTCTTCACCACCCTCAGCAAGCAGCAATGTTCCACAACAATCGATGGGTTCATCATTATTTGATGAAGATGTGATGGGAGGATCAATGGTGATGGAAAGCCCTCCGGCTCCTCCTAGTTTTGTGGCCTATGATCGGAACGGATTGAAGGTTTCACTTTTACCGTCTAGAGATCCTTCGGCTAAGAATGTTTTGAAGATCACCGCTCAGTTTGTTACTACGGGAATTGAAGCTATTATGGGAGTTAACTTTCAAGCTGCTGTACCTAAAGTTGAGTTTTTTTTGTTCTTCTTTTTAGAAGAGATCAGGGGTTTTTTTGAAATAGTTTGGTTGATTTTGGGAAGGAATTGAATTGAGATTGATCTTGATTTGTTTGTTTTTGTGTATAGACTCAAAGGTTACAAATGCTTTCGATTTCTAATCCAGATATAATGCCAGGAGTAGTAGAAACTCAACAATTAAGAATCATGTATCCAGAAGGAGTAAGTCTGTAAATGTTCTTTTTCAAAAAGAACCGGGGGTTTTTTTATTGATCTTTTTTTTGGGTGTTTTTGATAGGCTGCTATTAGATTAAGAATTAGGATTGGATTTAATTCTGGAGGTGAAAGTAAACAAGATCAAACTGATTTTAGTTTTCCTGCATCTATTACACAATAAATGGAGTATAGAATGATCAAGTAAATGAGAAAATTCATCAAGGACAAATGATTAGAAAAAAAATCGAGATCATCATCAAAAATACATGTTGAGGTTCAGAGAATAGAGAATGGATGTGTCTTTTTCAATGGTTAGACTGGTTGTTAGAGTGAAGGTTTTTGTTGGAGTTTGGTATTGGTAGAGCTTAGTAAAATAAAGAAGATGATAAAGTTTTGGTTTTGGTTCTTTTTGGTTTGTGTTTAAAAGATATATCAACGATTTTTGTTTTTGGTGTTTAAGTATTTATTTTTTTCTTAGATTTGATTGATATTTGAATGTGTAAAGAAAGAGGAAAGACAAAGAAAAAGTGAGAAAGGAAGAGAGATGGAATGGTTTATTTGAGCTTGAGGGTTTAGAGGTAAGAATGAGAGTGGAAGTTTGGTTTGGTTGCATGGTTTCTTCATTGATAGCTGCGCTTAAAGTTGACTTGGTTTTAGAGAACCTAGTTGAGCTAGTTGTTTTTTGGTGGTAACTTTGGGTATGAAGTTGATAGCTCATGGCCAAAAAGTTAACTGGGTTTTTTGTAACTGGGTCAACTTTGAGTATGGCTAATGGGCTTAAGTGATGCAATTGAATGATTCAAAAAAAAAGGAAAAAGATTGTATAAGAATGTTTGTGTTTTTTAAATAGATTTTCAAGATTGATGGAAAAACAGTCATAGTTTACTTTTTATGGATATGGTTAGGGATAGGATGGCTCAGGGTTCACAAGTTATTTGGTTCAGAGATTTGTTTGATTTCATGGTTTTGCATATGTAAATGGTCTTTTCCATGGAGAAATGGTGATCATATCAAGGAATACATATTTTACATATATGAGATGATTAGGAGTGTTCAAACATGAAAAGTCGAGATTTGGAACGAGATTTGGAAGCAAAGATTTTGAACCATGATTCTTGTACAGATGAATGTTGATTCTCGTACAGATCTGTACAAGAATCATGGTTATGTACATATTGGAGTATGGGTGTTGTTTGAGCTTTGAAGAAAGCGTTCACTTCAAAATAATAGGGGGGGCTCTCAAACCTGAACCTCCAAATTTGGAACAAGCTGTCCTGAAGCTAGCATGTGGTTTTGCCCACGCTCCTTGCTGAGCCGCCGGAAATAACAAACACAAAGCGGTGCTCATAGCGCACACCTTTCTTGGTGTTTGCCTCGTAGTTGAACAAACCAACTTGTGTTCTCTAGCATCACACACCTTTGCTGAGCAATACAAACTCCCTACTAGCTACCCTCCTGTGACCCAGCGCATAGGAGGGAAGAGGTGTGTGCCCCAACACATACGTTTCCTGAATCACCGGAATTGCCAAAGGATAGCGCACACTTTTGCTGAGCCGCCGTGTTTTTCAACCAAACACATGTGACTAAGCAGCCAGCTTGAGTGACTTGAACTGCTCAAAACTCACCTTCTGTCAAGCGGCAAGCAAGTCAACTGTTCTAGTAAAACGCACACGGGCAGGTTTCCAATTCTCAGCACGCAAAGATACCATGGATGGCTATTTGCAGCCACCTCCGCCCAGTTACCCATCTCAACGCCTACCTTCGATGTTCACTCGCGAGCCTGTCCCACCAAATCATCATGATGAGGCTCTGATTTCTTACAACCATATGGGTACTGAGCATCTGAACAGACCTATGACCGGGATTTATGGCTCCCAACCTTTCCCTTCAGTTGAAGTTTCTCCCGAAAGTTTTAATCCAACACCTTATGATCACTTCCGTTCTGCTTCACAATCACCTCATTATAGTCCTCACTACGGCCAGCCTCACTCTCACAATGCCCCCTTGTTGATGTCACCCCCACCACAACCTCAACTACGTGGCCGTGTTATAGAACAGCAGTGTGGAATCATTGCCGCACCCCTAGCCTCGACTGCCCCGGTTAATCCTCAACGTACTCAAATTAGTAAACCTGCGAACACACCACGTGATACTCCTCTTGACTCCTCTGATTCAAAGTGTGAAGAAGTGCATCGTATCTGGTCCAAGCAAAAGAATGATCTTGGTCATTCAGCTTTCGATATACTGGTACAGTGGGTTCTTGAGCCAGGGAACTACAATAGATGGCGAGTCAAAGGCTCTAAGAAAAGCGATATTTGCGAGGAGATCCATCAAATCCTCATTAAAAATGGGATATTCGGGAGGAACGCTAGCGGTGTGTACCAACAGGTGCGACCATCTGTGTCTCTGCATAACGTCTCATGTTTCCTTACCATTTTTTCAATCTCAATGTGTGCTCTTATCTGGTATGAATCATCTGTTAGATCCACTTTTTGGAGAAAAGATTTCGAGCTGCTCGCGACGAGACAAAGAAGACCGGTGGCGGGTTCAACGGGTTCCCAGGCGAGAGGCAGTTTTCTGGTCAGTCAGGTTCCTATTGATTTTTTTTGTTTCGGTGTGGCTGAGTTTTGGTTGTACATAGAAAAAATCGAAGCGATATGCCCCCACTTCTACGATTTGCAACCTGTCATGGGTGATCGCCCTTCGGCGATGCCTCTGGATCAGATCGAGTCTTTAAGTGATTTGGACACAGACACCTGTATGAAGGCTCTTCGTCTCACCAGCTCACAGGCAAGTACCTCACAAGGACACGAAGATATCATCGACCTCGAGGACGATAACTTCACCTCCGAAGTTATAGATACCGATGAATCCTTTGAGTTACCACCTCCGATCAACCACCCTGCACTGATGCAAGCGATCAACCAGGCCGACCACCCCAGCAAGACCAAGAGAGGCAAGCACTTCCGAGACTCTTCGGTTGGAAGTCAAGATGATATATCCAACTCTCCAGCCCACCCTTCTAGTTCTAAAAAGGCCCGTGGACTGGCAGGTGGTACATTTTTAAAAGCAATAGGCTTTGATGACAAGCCTGACACCAGCCTAAATAATCGAAAAGCTGCCTCGGTTTCTGAGGAGCTGAAGCGATTCCAAGATAACAACTCAAAACAACGCGACCGAGCTCTAGACCTACATAGAGAGGCAATTCAAGGTCAGGTTTCCATTGGGGAATCTATTGGTGGTGCGATGAATGAGATGACTGGCGTCCTGAAACTTATAGTGAATCCCCCAAAGGATAAAATCACTCAAGAGCTAGATGACTTGAGACTCCTCAGAGAAAGATCTGACTATGAGTATCGCCTGGCAAAGCAAAGGTCTGAAATGATGGACCTTGAACTCAAACGAAAAGCAAAATTAATCGAACGCTTTGAAAAAGCTGGCAAATCCTTCAGCGAAGCAAACCAAAGAGCCGATCAAATGATCGAAGAACAGAAAAAAAGTGAGTCATGAGATGTACCTTTTTGCATCATATTGAAGCTTGTATTAACATCTTCTGCACTGCTACAGGAATGGCTGAAGAGGCTCAGAAGAATTAGTCGCTATGTACCTCGAATAAGTATGTTTTTAAATCTTTACAAAATGTTAGTCTTTTTATGTAACCGTCACAAATTTATATATATATTGATGGAATAAAAATCGAACTCGTGAGAACATGTTGAGACATGAGATTTAGTGTAGTATGACCCTGCTGAGATATGAGATTGAGTCAAGGCTTTAAAGAAAAGCAACATGGATGACCTTTTTGAAAATCTTCATACACGCATTTGTCCATTTGAATAACTCATTGAACGGTTGATTTTGATCTAAGTAAGGAAATAAAATCACAATCACTTATCATATTAAGAAATATCGGATCGATCATAAATAATAGACAAAGATCAAGTGAAACAATAATGAGAAAGACACTATCGACGAGATTGTTCATAAAGGGAGAACAATCTTGCACGAGTGTCGTCTTCATGATGCAGCCCATCACGATCTGCCTCTTCAGCTCGTTCGTCCTGTAGCTCTTCGGCCGCTGGTTCCCCTTGAAACAGATTGTTACCTACATCCTGAACGTCAATAAGAAAATTATGTAGGATGCAAGTGACACCCAAAACCAGATTCAGACGTCTTGCCGATGCAAACCCCTTGATCGCTATCCGGCACTGAACCAAAGACTGCCATCGCATCTTCCATAGGCAATTTGTATTTTCGATTACATAGCGGAGACGGCTGAGCGCGTTATTGAAAGATCGCTGCAATGGCGGAATAGGCACCCCACGGGGCTTCTTGAAGTTTGATACGATATGTTTCCTTGAAGGATACCCGGAGTCGGCTATCAAGTATTCACCCTCGCTGAAGAATCGCTCCGGGAATTGCGATAACTGTATTCAAACAGGCATGAGGTTTATGATAACGTGAGTTCCTCATTTGTGGACAGCTGTTAGATTGGGTGGCTTGCCTCTGAGTTACGATATACACGTGCATCGTGAGCACTTCCGCACCAGCCGTGACTTGCATATATAATGCGCTTCTGATGATCACAGACAAGCATGGAGTTGACTGCATAACAAGATTTACGGGTGTGAAAGTCTTCCATATTCTTTTCGGGTCCAGTAGCCAATGTGATCAAAGTGCCGTCAATAAATCCAACACAGTCTTGGAAAAAGCTTTTCTTTCCTATCTCCTGTTTGATGATTTTGCGCTCGTTCTCGTTAGGCCATTTAAAGTATTGATTACTGAGGGTAAGGATCGCTATGATGCAGCGATTGGTGTAATTGTATATACTCCCCTCTACATATTTCAAAAAAATCATCAATGAAGAAATTAAACACTTATCGTAATTGATCGCACCTGATATTCCAAAGCCCAGTGCGAGCAAAGCTGGACTGGCCCCGTTCCCCGAAAGGCCTAGATATGCCAAGGCGACTAGAAGCTGCCATTCCGGCGGAGCTTGTGGTGAATTCGATTGATTCTCAAAGGTGGGATGATTGCCAATCATGTGCAGCAGTTGCGTAAACGAACGCTTCTGCATACGTGCCTAAAGAGAACATAGTATCAGTATCAGTAATAGATTGAGTAGGATATTCACGAACCAAGCGAATGAATATAGATTCAGGCTCGTTGAACAGAATAACAAATCGCTGAGAGCGCCATCCGCGGCGGCCTCGTGAAACTCGTTTGACTAAGTAGCGTTGAGAAGACTTTGCTATATATTCAATTATTACTTTGTTCAACTCCTCTTGATGCAATCTCACTGTCAGCTGGTGTAGATTTTCCATTACATTCTCAAAGGAATCGGAAAACCATTGTGTGGCCAGGCCAAAAAATACCATCATGGCGTAACAAAGCTTGACATTTCGAGGGGATCCCAATTTGAAATTCGTGCCAAGTTGGACCAAGGACTGTGCAGCTAAAGCAGCCGCTAAAATTGATTGCACCCCTCTGGTGTGTTGGATGAGTTCTGGGTCATGATCAGCCAGAGTGAACAGAGCATCTCGAACATTTGAGTCTAGGATGCTGCGGCGGGTGACTCTAACCATTTGAATAAGATATACTGATGTGTCAGTACTTGCTTGTGTGTTTTGGGCAAACTCAGCGAGTCAGGTTGGCAGATTGCTAGGTCACAGGAGGGTAGTAGGGAGTCTGGATGGCTCGTGTGATGCTGAGTTGGTTTGTTCACTACGAGGCAAACACCAAGAAAGGTGTGCGCTATGAGCACCGCTTTGTGTTTGTTATTTCCGGCGGCTCAGCAAGGAGCGTGGGCAAAACTACATGCTAGCTTCAGGACAGCTTGTTCCAAATTTGGAGGTTCAGGTTTGAGAGCCCCCCCTATTATTTTGAAGTGAACGCTTTCTTCAAAGCTCAAACAACACCCATACTCCAATATGTACATAACCATGATTCTTGTACAGATCTGTACGAGAATCAACATTCATCTGTACAAGAATCATGGTTCAAAATCTTTGCTTCCAAATCTCGTTCCAAATCTCGACTTTTCATGTTTGAACACTCCTATTGCACAGCTTGTAATTCTTGGCAAAATACATACAGAGATACAGGCTACAGGTCGTGATTTGTGGAGAAGTGTATGTAGGAATTGAATGGGTGAAATTACATGTAGTAAAATTGAGTGAAAATCTAAAATTGAAATTATGAATGAGAGTGAGAATATGTGACTGTTTTTATTTGATCAACCAAGAAGACCAGGAAGCCTGACGAAGAAGTTCAAGTTCAAGTTCGCAATCATGAAACGACTATTTCATAAAAAAGCTACTTCTCTATCATACCCAAATCAATCCTCATCAAAAACTAAAACTTCACCAATCAATGAACAACTCGAATCTCAATTACCTCCATCTCCTCCTTTAGGTTATAATTCTCATTCTTATTCTCATTCGACAGCTCAAACTCAAGCTCATTCATTACCTTTATCATCTACTTCTCCTAATCCTTGGGCTTTTATCTCTCATCAAAACCTTACTACCGATCATCATTCATCTCCTCAATCTCTACCACTTTCTTCAAGGTCGGTTTCCTGTTTTTCCATTGAGATTTTCAATGGCTTAACTTTTTCTCATCCTACCTAACAACCATTGACATTTTCTTGTGATTTCTTTTTTTTCGATTTCTTTAGGATTCCAGATTTGATTTTAAATCAAGAAGATAAAGAAAAATCTCAAACTGAACCTATTCTAAGTACTAAAATGATCAATTCAAATCCGAAAAAGAAAGCAGGATTCTTATCTAGATTTCAAACCAAATCTACACATCACACAACATTCCACAATCATCATCATCAACAACAACCAAGCAGCGAAATTCAAAGATGTGTTAGTTGGCTTTGTAGTCTTAATCAACTTACAGAAGATTGGTCCAAGATTTTAGAGGTTTGTGATAAGCTTTCTAAGAGTGAAGATGATTGTAAAGAAGCTGTACATTTGCTTCGTAAAGAACTTAAACATGGGATTCCTTCTGTACAAGTTCAAGCTATTAGGGTGAGTGAATCAAGTCTTGGGTTTGATGATTGGATTGGATTGGATTGGATTGGGGTCACTGACTGAGATCTTCATCTTTCTTATCATCAACTTGTCTTTTATAATAGCTTACGGTCATCTTTGTGCTTAATTCATCAGATCGCTTAAGACGTAAGTTTTAAAGCTCTTCATCAAAACTATCCTATCCTCATAGGCGAAATTAAATCTGATCAAGTTTTTGATCATCTTGATAAACACTAAATTCAGTTCAGATCGCATCTAAAAAGTTTTTAGAAACTGTTGAAGAAGTCTTTCATAAATCAAATAAAGATCCCACTAGATTTGAAGTTAGAGAGATGATTAGAAAATCGTTTTCATTACTGGGTTATGAATTTCAAGTAAGTCAATCTAGACTCTTCTCAATCGGTTTCAATCCAATCCGCTATCTTCTCATAAGCTTCATCTTGATGACTTATCTTGATGTTCTTTTTTTCTTTCTTTCATTAGCATGATGGAGATTTACAAGCATTCACACATTTGTATAATAAAATCAAACCGTCTGACAGTCCAATGGGGTAAGATTTCGTTTTTGATTTATCCATCTAGATGTGGTATCCTGATTTAAATTGGTTTGATGATAGTGGTGCACCATTAGACGAGTCTGATCACACCTTTACACCTACTTCAAAACCTCGTTCATCAAACCAATCTAATCATCTTCATCACTCTCAACAAGCTGTAGCACCCGTCATGCGAGATTTGAAAGCCGAAGCTGAAGTGGCTCGTAGTAATGCTCGTTTACTCATTGAAGCTTTAGCTTATACTACTCCTGCTGAAATGGAAAACAATGAATTGATTCAGGTATGTGATGACTTCAATCTTCTTCACTTCCACTAGGCTGACTTTTTTGGGTTGGTACTATGAATCTTTAGGAATTTCATTCAAAGTGTTTACATCATCAGAATCAATTGCTTGATGATATACCCTGGGCTACAGCTCAAGCAGAACAATCAAGACTATATGCATCGTCTATCACCACTTCTCATCCGTTACCTGCCACCAACCCATACGCACCTCTTTTGAATGGAGTCGGAACCCCACCAGATCCTTCATCAGGCTTAACTAAAGAAGAAGAATTATTGAATGTGTTGTTATTAGCTAATTCGGATTTAGTAGATGGCTTTAGACAGTATGATGAGATGAGTAAGTTACTTAGGAATGAAAAACAAATGAAGATTGTAGAGGAAAGATCAAAGCTAGAGACACGAAGAGAAGTGAATCAAGAAGGAGAAGGAGAAGAAGGTTTTGGAGGAGGAGGAGGAGGTAGTGGTGCTAGTAGTAGTGAACCTATGAAATCTACGTTTGCTTTGAGGTCTCCTTTGGGATCTAGGAATCCGTTTGGAGAAGAAATTCGAAAACAAGAAGGATATCGGGTTGAAGTAGATGAAGAAAGGGAAACTCGATCGTCAGCTGACTTATCAAACCAACCCGAACGGAAGAAGAAAGAATGGATCACCAATGGAAATGGGAATGGAATCACAGAAAGGACGATGGTGGAAGAACCGGATGAATTTGAAGAAGAGGTTGGAATACCTAAAAGGTTTGAACCATCTGAAAAAGCATTAGGAAAGATGAGAAGGATCTCAGGATTAGATGAAGATGGAATGGGAAGTGGAAGTGGAAGTGGAAAGAAAGAAACAGATGAATCGAATGAATTGAGAAGAAGAAGAGAAGAGGTGGAAAAAACGTTTAGGGATCGGTATAGATTGTTTCATGAGAAAGAAGAGAATTGATAGAAAGAAGGTAAGGTGAAGTGAAGTGAAGTGAGAAGTGAATTGTGATGAATGCAAAGTTTTTTTATGGATGGTATATCAGTTAAGATGGGGTTTGGGGTTTCGTGTTTGGTGTTTCGTTTTTTTTTGATTTGATTTGATACGGATGATTTAATATACCAACTACCTTTTGATTTTTTTTTTTGGTTTTGAAGAATGTTTTGGTTTTGGTTTTGATTACGCAACAACAATAATCAAAAAACAAATGTAACTGGTTTTTGTTTTGTTTTGATCTTTGATCTTTGATGAAGAAGAAGAAGATGATGAAGTGAAGTTTTTTTGTTTGGTTTTAAAATATTGTATAGTTTAATCTTTTTTTTGTTTGTTTTTTGAACTGTTGTTATTATTGTTTTTGATTTGTGAGATTATGTTTCTTTTTTTTTTTTAGTTTATGGACAATGAAATGAATACATGGATAATATTTGAAAAGAATGATGATCTGATCAGAAAGAAGAAGAAGAAATGGATTTGGTTGGTTGTTTGTGAGTAGACTTTCACTTGATGATGGTCAGTATGTAATTGTAAGAAAATTTAAGTGGTTTGATGAGATTTGTTTTTGTTGATCATCCTCTTGACCAATCTTTTATGATTATCTTACTAGAGAAGCCAATTCCTAGCATTTTTCATCATCAAATGTGAAGGGCTTATGGTAGATCAGTCAATTTATAAAGGACTTGATCAATCTTGACTGCAAAACTCGAGGCTAGTAAATTGGCAGACAATTGGTGACAAGCTTTTTCTGAATGGACTAAAATTCAGAGGTTTCAAGTTTGGATTTTTTATATTAACACTTTTGTTGTCCAACTGAGTAATCTTTCTCATTGGTCATGAGGGGTCTGATTCAACAAATGCTGCAGCCCAATGATGGTGGGATGTAGGTGGGTTTCTCTTTGGGATTTTGAGATTGATGTCTTTATCATAAATTGATGATACTGGACGTGATTTATACTCAGATGTGCATTTCAATCTCAGATTTCATTGATTCTTGTGGATATAACATAAGAGTGATTTCATAGAAAAAACGATCAATTCGAATTCAAGAGCTTTGCTTCCTTAAATAGTGATTATAATGAATGAGTGAATCGTAAAGATTGGGTAGGAATCTCTACCATCAGATATGTAAGAACATGGAAGAACATGAACAAGGCTGCCTTTTTTTAATGAAAAGAACCAAAACAATAACTTCTTTGAGTTAGATAAAGGATCATGAAGAGACAAAAAAGAATTAAATTGAAGAACCCTTATCGCAAGAACTCTTATTGCAGATCCTTTCACGTGCTTGATAGGTCTTGAGTAGTCTTCTTGCTTGAAGGTTCAGAATGAGTTCAATGCTATTTGAGATGCGTTTATTTCACGTCGAAAACATTGTCAGTTGATAGGCAAGTAAAATCACTATCATGGCAATCATCGCATATAAAGTCACGTACACATTTCCACTGATGGCAAACGGCACATGTAATCCCTGATGATAATTTGATAGATGATCAGGCCTCTCATTAACACTTCTCAATCTATCATCAGTCAAATTTGTAACTCACAATCAGTAAAATCGTGTACCAATTCTTACTTTGAACAAAACTAGGATCCTTGTATGTGAACTTTTGAAGTGATTGAGAGGACGGAATCAGTTTGATAAATTTATAAGTTCATACGTCACTAGAATACCCACCAGCCAGGCCAAAACCGGTATAAAGCTAACTGTGGTGATATAAGCCGACCAAGCATGATGTACAATCGTACTATGCTCTTCCTCAAGGCGGGCTTTGATGTGGGCAAATTGATCGGCTTTATCAGCTGTAGCAGTCGCAAAAGTAAAACGAAGCTCTCTGCTTCGTTTTCGTAACACTTTTAGGGTAGCATAGATCAATGGAGCGTAAAGCTATCACGATGGTCATTGATACAAACGATTGATTAAGCTCATCAAGATTCATAGACATATAATTAATGGAAGCGTCACAATAACATTGTACTCACAATACTCAATAAAGACAAGTCAACCAGTGCAGTTATGATGGCCACCCTAAACATTCTCGCGATATCATCCTATGAAAGCACAAGTTATAAATAGGTTGTAATCAATTTTAAGCAGATCATTGCCGCTTAGCTCACCCTAATCTCCACTAATTCCGCGGCAGGCGCCAACAGCTGCAAAACCTGGACCGGAGTATATGTCTTGGGGTCATAGCTAGGGGCCACAGAATGCAATGTGTTTCTCATCGTTTGTGTAATTTCTTTTGAACGATTAAAAAGCATATCGTTCCTAGTAAGAGACCAGACCATCGGTACTAAAGAATGTATCCTTATCAATAACCGCATCATGGTTGGTTGGAAATCGGAATATGATATCGAGATATGACGCGTACATACTGGCGCTAGTGAAACGGTCACAAAGCTAATGTTCAACATCCATCGAAGTATGGGAGGAAATCGAACTCTGCGACGAGATTGTACTGCCCGAGACCAAGAAGCTGATTCTCCCCACATTGAGGCAATGCATTGACAAGCACAGACCCAGAGAAAACCTACAGCGATGAGAAGAAAAGGCGAACATGAGCTCTTTGAATTGGTTGTAGATGGCATATAGATCAGAGTTCACCTACACCTACAAACAAACAAACATTTGATTTAGTTTTGATATCTGATTGTTCAGAATTTAAAAAGAAATCCTAACCATGAGCATGTTAGTAATACTAAGAATTTACAACCAAGTAATGCGATTCTCCCTCCCAGATCTCGATGACCTTTTTCATATTCGAGCTGTAAGATCAAGTCGGCAATTACCACTATTTAAAAATCAATCAGCTTCTTGACCTACGCTTTCAAAATGAAACGCGATCTCCAATACGAATAGACAATCGCTTACGAGGGCAGAACAGAAAGTACACCAGCCCGGAAACATTTGGCACGTCTAAACGTATGAGTCCAACTGAGTGGTGATATAGTAAGTCAGTAAAACATCTATCTAGATGTATTTATAAACGATCAAACTTACCTTTTGGTGTTGTGGATCACAGAATTGTACAGCATGGATAGTCAATAAGATGCATATAGGTAGGTAGCATTCAACTTGGATCTCATCACTACTTACGCTCTGTGGTCTGAAAGAGTCTAAAGGTCTTGGTCTTCACTCTGATATATATCAAGTGAAAACATTGTATATACATACTAAAATTGACCAAATGTAAGTAAAAGTACGGGATATTATTGATCAGAGAGATTTGTGCTTACATAAAGTACGCAAATAGGCAAGCTGTTAGCAAATGACGCGCCCATGGGTTCAATTTTGGTGTCTGAATCATCGATGGTGCGAATACATGTGAATTGGTGTGTGGCCAAAACCAAACAAAACTCTGGTCAAAAAGAAATCACTCACGTCTACAGCCTCTTTCAAGTAAACTGAAGCGGCCAGGTACGGATTTTGAGATCTAGGAATGGAGAGGACACGGTCTATGAGCTTTGTCTCTTCTGATGATAACATTATGGATGCGTGAAGGATGATTAAGGCCGGCTCATGTTATCGATCGAAAGGATTTTGAAGTTGAGGCTGATAAGGCCTCGATTGTTCTCAAGGTAGTGACGATGTAGACTCTGCAAAGTTCAAACCCTCTCCAGTCACGCGATAGTAATTAATATTAAGCTCAACAAAGTCTCTCGCTGTTTCTCGCACGCTTGGAGGCTGGAGCGCACAGCTAGGGAGTTTGTTGAGTTAAAATTAGTATAGTATATAGTTGATGGAGATCAGTATCCCACATGGAATCTGAAGTACATAAGTTTGTACAAATATAGTGAATGAAAAGCTTTTATAAAATTGTTTACGAAACGATTGATGAATTGATGATCATTGATTCATAAACATGGCGATTTTTAGGATTTTTTCCACGTGTTGTACTTACAGTCAATTTACAAAACCTTGCTCAATTTTTCCCGCAACACTCGAGCGGATTGGCGGGGAATTTATTGTAAACTTTTCTTACAGCTGTTCAGGAAATTCGTGTCCTGTTCGTTTTTTTTTTTTTTTGCACTGAAGGTTTCTACACTAGATACAGCGCTGTATTGGCTGTATAGCTCACCTCCGGCCACGGGAGCTAAAACAGCCAATATAGCACTTTAGGGATATCTAACCCCTAACCCTCCCAACCCTCCACCCGTTTCATTACCCGGTGCTACAGTACTACAGCTCCATTCAGCTCCATTTCGTCGTATGGGAACCGCTTCCACTCGCCATTCGCTCCTCCATTCACCACGGTTCTCATACCAGCGAAAGTCGAATGCAATACGATCACCTCCTCCTTCACTTCACCCGCTACGACTTTCATAGGAACCGGCTTTGGCCTTTGGCACCTCGACCGACCGACCTCACCGCTCACCTTTTAGCTTCTCACACACTATACTGAATGAAATCTACTACGGCCTTACATCATTGATATCGACATCTTGTTCAAAAACATCCATTTGGACCTCAACAGTTCCCCTCGGTTCATCAACCGGCTCTATAACAAAATCTATAGGCACAGCTCCCATTCAACTTTTGCACCTCGACCAAACCCCATCCTCACCTTTTAGCTTGTCACACGCCATAAAGCATTCTACTCCAGCCTTCACTCATTGAAATCCAGTTCAAAAACACCGTTTTGTACCTCAACATCTCCTCTCGCTTCATCACCCGGTTGTAGAACAATTTCTATAGGATCCTATCGCTCTCATTAGGCTCCTTTTCATCCACTCCCACACTGCACCATTTAGCTTCTCGACTGCTATCACAATACGTTGAAGGAATGTAATTCAGCCTCCACTCACATAGATCTGTTTCAAATATGGTGTCAATGATGGTTTGGACCGTCAGATCTTTGGTCGAAAGATCATTGGCCTCCTGTACTCAGTTTCATCTTCGACAGGCCTCCACCTGCACCACCCAACGTTTAAAAAGCCCGCCATCGTGCTCATTTCTTTCTCTCAACACTCCATCTCTTGATTTCGTTCTCAATTTATTTCTTTATTATTTGGTGGTTACTTGTACATCGTGTTCAAAAATGGTCCATCGTCGTGTTCAAAATCACCCACTGTGAGTTAAATCTCGTAACCATTGTACCTGCGGTATATGCTGATGTTTTTGGTTTCTTTTCATACTTCACAGGCAAGACATGTCCAATAGGCCTATCAGCCCCAACGGACCGACTCGCACACCATCTCTCTTGAACCGGACTGAAATGAACCAGCCACAGAGCTCTATGCCCGGTACAACGGGGTGAGCCATGTTGCTGTTTGTTTATCCTCTTTCGACGTGTTTGCTGATGATCAACTTTCTTACTCAGGTTTAGACCTCCAGGTAGCCCGATCAAGCGGTATATGCCATACCCTGCGCCTCTTTCCAACGCTCCCCAGCTACCAACCCAACATTCGGGTACTTTCTCGAGCATGAGCAGCACTGATACTCTTGATTGGAGTCACAGCGTGTCACCTGCCCAAAACCCGATGGCCATGATACAACGATCCTCAACTTGGGTCCCTGTACCCTCCCTTCCTTATCAATCAGCCTACAAAAACACAAATTTCATGCCAAATCTTTCGTCAGACGCCCAATTAGTCCTCAAAAGCCTCGGATCACCTACTATCCTCCAGTCTCACCTTTCACACTCTGACACTTCCAAACCGATGACTTCAAAATCCACCTCTGGTCCGACTACTCTGGTCATTGATGATGATGATGATGAAGGGCGTGGTCATGGGTCTACCGGGTGTGCAGGTATGTTGTTCTTCTCTTTTTCTTTCATAAGTTCCCTGTGCTCACTATAGATTTATCTTAGCCTTTCATGATGATACCTCGGACGACCTTCCTCTTGCGGACGCGGACTCGATCTTAGACGGTCTTCCAACAAAGGGACCTTTCAATATTCCTGAACCACCTATGGCCCAACCTGGACAACTTCCTCATCGAGTTTTTGAGATCACGTTCAATGTCTATCAACGCAAAGTTCCGGAAATTGACTCAGTTGCGGGACGCACTAAGAAAGCTCGCGGGCGGGCTTCAAAGGTTGGTCTGAAGCCTGTTAAACCTCAATGGAGGAACTACAAACCTCTGGTCCCGACGTACTCCAAGTTACCTGTCGGATCTTTCAGCTGGAGCGACTGGCGATTTAAAGTGTTCAATGCCTGTAATGATCGGCTCAGGGGGATTTCTGAAGCACTAGTTGCCGCCGAAAAGGGTGGAACCTTAGCCATTCAAGGTTTTATTCATGGCACCGATCGCAAGACTACTAAGTTTCGTGTTTACCTCACTGACGACATCACTTTCGGCCAATTCGTTCATGCTGTCCTCGCTGCCCCTTCAAATGCCACTGTTGGTATCAAGATCGTGCACCCAAATCCCAAAACAAATGAGGACTCGAATCAATCTTTAGCGAGTTCTCTCAGGGCCTCAGGTGGGAATTCTCTTTCTGACCCATCTGATGATGAGGACGGGTCTGAGTCCGATGGGGTAAGCCCTCTCTCATGTGGTGTTTCTCACTTATGAAAAGTTTTTTGACCTCGATTATTTCCTGCTGTAGTCTGACGCTCTCACTCCGGCTGAAAAGAAGTACAAGATTCTGATGACCCGCTTCGAAAAAGCTTTCAAGTCGGGTGAGAATGTGGCAACAGCAATCAATCCTAAAGACCCAACACAAGTTTTACTTCTCAATACCTCTCGCATCCGAACTTGGGCTAATGACTGGGTGAGATTCAATTCTTTCTTGACCATCTTTCTCATTTGGCTTCCATTTCACTGACTCATTTTACAATGGCAGGCTGAAGGCGTACCTGGTGTTGACGAGGTTAACCCTCCAATGGCGCGACCTGACTTCAAATGGGTCCATGCGTCACACTACAAAGAGGAGAAGGCGGAACTTCTAGGTCTACGTGATCGTCGCAACAAACCCAATCCAAACCAGGCCCCTTCGAATTCCGCTGGGACAGTTATTCACCATAACTACTACGGTCAAGGTTTTCCCAGCCCTGCATTACCTGGACTCAGCCCTTTCACCACTCCCATCACGATGAACCCACCGGCTTTACCCCCATCGAACGGGTCACCTCTTGTCCAAAATTCTCGTTTATCTCCTCCTCCAAATATCGAGTACCCACCTTTTGATCAATTCTTGTCTTTTGCTGGGATTCATGAAAGCATGAAGAAGACCCGCGATGTATTGCAAAATGAAGGCATTGAAGACTTTGGTCGACTACTGGACCGGCAAACGTACTCAATTCAAGCTTTGCATGGTATGGGTATACCCTTTGCCCAAGCGGATGACATTTGGAAAGCGGTTCCAAAATTTCTTGAAAGTTTGAAAACTAAATTATAACCTTATCATGTGGACCAATCAAATTTATGCTCAAAAGTCTTTGCTTTTCTCTCGTTTTCTCAAAGGTTCTTTAAAGATCGAGTCCTGTCTACTTGACTAAAGAACAGTGTTTTCATTTTGGTTTGGTTTTTATGTCTCGTCTTATTTCTCTAAATGTTTTCAAAGATCGTGTCTCGTCTACATGACTAAAGAGCGAACTTTTACAAAGTTCTTTTTGTTTTTTTTTTACTTTCTCATTTCGCTAAGGTTCTTTAAAGATCGTGTCTTGCCTACATGACTAAAGATCCAGCTTTTCACAAAGCTTACTTACAGGCCTTATGAAAATCAATCATTTATTCTCCACTTCTCTCTCCGAGCAAGATTCAGTCTATTTGTAATAGTCTAAGATCTTCGCAATGATATATATGCCTTCATCTGTATAGGTTATTTTGCTGAGCATATTGGGAGCAGTCAATACAAATATTGGTATGTTTGCACGAGTCTTGATGTTACCAAACCTTTGTGAAAAAGGAGGTTATTTCAATTTAAAGGTTATTTCAATTTAAGAGCCCCTTTTTTTTGAAATATAAAAAAGGATCTTATCCTACTCGTCCTACTGAAAGGTGTAGTAAGAAAATGTTATGATGATGAATGGAAATGTGAGAACTGTGAATCAACTTATCCTGCATCCGATCATTTGTAAATATTTGAGAGTTTCCATTGGTACGATGATGATGATTTTCACGAAAGGATCAGATAGACTTAACCTGACTAAAACGGCCAATGAATTGATTCATTCTCTTCAAGATGATGACGAGAATTTTATAGGCTCAATTTAAGAGGGCACTGATTCACGTGTTTATATTTCTTGAGTAAACAAAACACAATACAAATTTCCTTCAGCAAGACAAAGAGATCTTTTAATGAGAAAACAAAAACACGTTTTTTTCTTGATGAACAAAAAAAAAGACAAAATTTCTTGATGAACAAACAATTCAAGAATCTATTAAAATTCCTTGAAATCTGTTCCAAAATAAATTTCAATCAAAGCTGTGAATCATGACTACATCCAATAGCCAGTGACGGCGTATAATTTATGCATGAGGCCCGCCGTGAACGATTTCCAAGTGATGTTCTCGATCGCTTCGATCTTCATATCGCGCGCAGCAAGGCTAAGAGCTTGGGTTCGGCGCAAAACGGACTTGAGAACACTGAACGCTTTCTCAATAGGGTTCAAATCAGGGGAGTACGGAGGCAAGTAAATTATCCGAATTCCCTTCTCCTCTGCAAGTTCCGCGATCCGGCCGCCATGATGAATCCGCGCATTGTCCATGATTAACACCGAATTTGCCTGTGGGTATGGATTCATGACCGGAAGCTGTCACAAATTGGGGTCAGAATGAGAAAGAATAAAATCAAAGGGATATGTGTGAAATTAAGATAGGACACGTACTAGTTGATGTTTGAGGAAGCTTTCAAATTCCTTGCGATGGAAGCTGCCTTCTCGGCAAGCCATTGCCAATACGCCTCCCTTGAATATAGCAGGTAAGAGTGAATAACGCTTGCCACTGCGAGACCAAGGCATCCTTTTCGTGCGGTAGCCCATCCTAGCCCAACCATTCACTCTTCGCAGGCTTCGCTCCTGAATAGCACATTCATCTATCATGACAACAATAACATCAGATCCTAGAATCATAGAACATAAAGAGACAAATCGTACCTAAGAAGACCAGAATCTCAGGTCGCAAACCACCTACAGCATGTAAATATCGAGCTCGCTGATCAGCAGACTGGTTCGGGTGGACCGTACGAGTTTTCTTCAAAGTTAATGATAGACGTGATTTCAAATCTTCGGCAATGGTCTGAAGCGAGACCCATTTGCCAAACTGTCGATATATGGCGAAGCGGATTTCGTCCAGATACATCGACGGATTTTCATCGACAAGCTCAAGCATCAGATCACGCTCTTCATCATCCAAGCTAGTATTGCGGCCAAGTGTCTCGTAATCGGCTGGATTTCGTACGACTGAAAAAGTGTTGCGGTATAAAGATTCCCATCGCGAGAGGGATCGCAAACTAACTGGGGATCGCAGCATATGTTTGACTTCACGCTTGGTCATCCCTTCTCGAAGGTACTGGACGGCCAGTACCTTGATACTGGCATCATACTTTCCCGGTCGGACCCGTGGTGTTCGCATATCTGAAACTAAGGATTGCAGAAAGGAATCAGTGAAAAAGCCGGAGGAATAGCCACCTGAAAGAAAAAAGTGAAAAACTGACATAAAGCAAGAATGGGATGAAGTGTAAAGTGGGCTGAGGAGTGAGAGTCGATCAATTGTGACAGCCTCCAGAGTGGCAGGGGTAGGAATCAGGAAGTGGGCGGGTGGTGTGATCGTGGAAAGTGGAAGCGGTTCCCATACGACGAAATGGAGCTGGATGGAGCTGTAGTACTGTAGCACCGGGTAATGAAACAGGTGGAGGGTTGGGAGGGTTAGGGGTTAGATATCCCTAAAGTGCTATATTGGCTGTTTAGCTCCCGTGGCCGGAGGTGAGCTATACAGCCAATACAGCGCTGTATCTAGTGTAGAAACCTTCAGTGCAAAAAAAAAAAAAAACGAACAGGACACGAATTTCCTGAACAGCTGTAAATGACTGAGTGATCTTTATAAATAAATGACTGACGATGTACTTGGAATCGCGATGAGATTTGAATTTCCTGTCGTTCTCGAAAAGCTTGTCCGGGTTTTCCCGCAAAACTCGAGCAATTTGGCGGGAAAACTTGGACAAGCTTTTCGAGAACGACAGTCGGATGTTGTCCGAGATTTTGAACTTGATGTCCTGAGGAAAATTAACTTGGAGAGTGTACGAAGCTCTTGGCTTAACACAAGCCCTCTCCGCGCGGCCACGTCCGCGCGCCTCGCAGAGGGGCTTGCGACTAATCGTTGAATTCTAGCACGGAGACTCCAGCCCTTAAGTCCTCTTAAGTCGTTTTTTGATGTTTCCCGCTTTCCTCACCGATAAATACCACTTTGACTTGCAGGCAATCATGTTCAGGAATGGCTTCTACATGTCTTTGACCATTGATCAACCAGGAAAGAATGCTCTGTCATTCTGTTTGCAAGACACGTATCCAGGCTTTATGTCTTGCTTGTAAAGGGGTTACGGGCTGTACTTGAACCGTAAAATCAAAAACGAGACAGTACAGGCAGAGATTGTAAAGCTTTTCAGCCTACCTGGTTGGTTACACCATTCAGAGTGCCAACCAAAGGTGGCCACCAGTATGTGTAGAACCCCATGCTGAACAACATTCCCTGCAAGGTAAAGTGGTGTTTATCAGCAAGGGAAGCAGGAAAAAGCAAAAAACCACTTAAGAGGACTTAAGGGCTGGAGTCTCCGTGCCAGAATTCGACGATTAGTCGCAAGCCCCTCTGCGAGGCGCGCGGACGTGGCCGCGCAGAGAGGGCTTGTGTTAAGCTAAACGAAGCTCCGAGATATCCAGTAGCCTTGCGAGCCTCGAGGCTACCTACTTTCTCATACGCCAAGGTCACAGCCGGATGAGCGCACCCACAGGCTTGAACTTTACTATCAAGACTTCATCTGTGCACATGACATCAAGGCTGCATTTCGAACATTTATAATTGCACGGTTTTTGGAACTCACTTCCGCTTGGAGCCTATAGCTTCGTTTTTATTTTGAGACTTTGTATGATTTGATGACGATCTACCGTTATTCCGGTACTCTTCTCGTCTGTCACTTCTGTGATCGTCTCTCCATTCGTCTCGATCATAACGTCTTGGGGAACGTGCTCGTCTTACAGGGGATCTCGAGCGGTTGTCTCTTCGTGGGGACCACCTATCCCCTCCACTTCTAAATTGACTTGGATCTCTATTTTCTTCTTTGTCGTAGTCATAATGATAACTTGTCTGTCTGCCGGTTCCTCTGCCTCTTCGCCGGCCTCTTCTTCCCCGGAATCCTCCTCTATTGCCTCCTTTTGAATAAGAGTGAGAACTTTTGTCTTTTGTTGATCTTGACGTCTCTTCCTTCTCTTCTGTTTTCTCAAACTCTCTTCTTTCTTTTTCTGCCGTTTTGAATAGCTTTGGGACTTGATCTTGCCTTCTTCCCCCTTTAGCGTACGGGTTATCATAACAATCCCACTCTTTGAACTTATCTACTGTACGTCGGGCTTGTTCTTCTAACTTTTTCTGCCTTACTGGCGGGTCTCTGACTTTCCCGCCTTCTACTCTAATTGTCCAGATTTGACGTCTAAGCATTATGTCATACCGTAGAGCTATCATCCAATTGACGTCGTTCTCTGCTTTAATCATTTTGACGTTACGTTTGTGACCTTCAAACTTCTCTGCAAGTCTCTTAAAATCAAACCATCTTTTTAAATAATCCAGCATGAGGTTGAAACAAGTAACCCAATCTCCATAAGACAGGCGTAATTCATTTGGATAAGCAAGGCCTTCGTAAGTATCATCCTCTGAGTCCTATTCGTTGTCTCTTTTCTTTTTCTTTGATGACTTCCTTCCTTCAACTTGTCCGTTGGCCTCTAACCATGCTTGGTTAAACATAGATACCGGTACGTATCCCTTGAACTTCCTGATTCGATTGTCCCAGAACACGGTCAACTGCGTCATATGGTGGCTAGGCACTTTCCCATCTGCGAATTCAATCCCATTTTCGACGAAGTTGCCCTTCCGAGTTTCTTGTCTATGATCTTCATCGTCTTTGTTCTCAGACATTGGTCTACCGGCTGGGATGTTTCTTGCGGTGCTGGTAGGTTTTGACTTTCCTGACCGTGGATTTTTTGCCATAGAAGGTGTTGGTATAGGAATAGTATTCTCTGTAGGAGGGATGGGATCTTTGTTTGTCTGGCTCGTCTTTACTACCGGTGCTTGCTCGGTTTCGATTGACAAGATTCTGAGTTTTTCTGGGTTATACCGTAACAGGTACGCCGTCATGAGTTCCGCATGCTTTTCGAACTCTTCTTTATTGAGTGCTTCTCTTATCTCCAATAGGGCGGTAGCTTGGCTTCTCGATGGACCTGGCGTTGGTTGTTTGGTTTCTTTTTGTTTCCCTGAAAGCATTACAGGAACGTCTGGTAAGTATCCCTTCTCTTTGTATTTGATCAAGGGGTTTGGAATTTGGAGTGTAATCGTGTGTGTCAATACGTGGGAATTGTCGCGCCCTAGTCCGTTATGAGGACTCTTTGCGTTCTATTTTGGGCCTTCCCACCGGTATGAGGTGAGGATTTTAAATTCATGTCATATTTGACTAGCCTTTATGGGGCCTCTGACTCCTTGTTTACTTTGTCAGGTAAATAGCGTTTCGTTGGGAAGGAAAAGGAGAAGATATATGATGGGGTTTTCCTGTCTACTGGCTTGTATGAGGTAGAAATAGAAACTACGGCAGCTCATAATTTCACTTTTTGGAGTGGGATACGTCTAATGGGAGGAATATGAATAGAGAATTTTAATGGATTTATCTCACCTTTCCTGACTGAAGGGCTTGTAACAGGGCCCGACTTAGGGTACTGTTAAGACTTAAGATTAAGGGGCTTACGAGTTAAATCTTAGGACAATTAGGGTCAAGGATTAAGTGAGTTTAGAAGAAACAAGGAGTCCGAAAGGACAGATAATAATTGAATTACGGTATAAGCTGAAAGATAGTTTATAAGATTTTAAGAGCTAATGATTAGAAAGTAGTATTAAAGAGATCTGAAGTCTGAAAGAAGACAATAGGAGATTGTAGATTAAGGTTGATGAGAAAGATTGAAATGATAAAGTAAGAATAAAAGATTAATTGAGGTCTGAGGAAAAGAGAAGCTTTCCGAAGATTACAGGATATTATATATGAAACTAGAATAGCTAGAAGGCTGATACAGATTAAAAAGGGCGAGCCCTGTAATCCAGCCAGAAACAAAATAAGAAACCGTTTACATCACAACGCCCACAATGGCAGATACATTCCGTGGCTTGTGCTCTAATACCTAGAATGAAACCGATCTTGATGAGGTAATCTTGCTTAGTCTTAAAGTAGAGTTTTAAGTTGTTTTGATTAAAGGAATCTCTGATTCCTAATCAGATCAGACAACACACAGATTAGTATAACAGTCTTAGAAGAGATGAAGTATCCGGAGAAGATGTGTTAAACAATATGTGGTGTTGATGAAAAACTTTCTAAAGATTGATTTTCATTTCTTTAACCAAACATAAACATGAAACAATGAAACCAAATGATAAAGAGATCATACCTAATCAGATCAGACAACACACAGATTAGTATAACAGTCTTAGAAGAGATGAAGTATCCGGAGAAGATGTGTTAAACAATATGTGGTGTTGATGAAAAACTTTCTAAAGATTGATGAAGAAGAACGTTTTCAACATGGATGAAATCTGATATAGTGAATGGTTCGATACAAACAATGGTTAGGTTAAAGTTTAGTCAGAAAGGTTGTGAGTAAGACATATACACATATACAAATGTAATAAAAACACATATTTAATATTATTAATTATTTGATGCAACAGTTTGTTCCAACAGCCCCCCCTGCTCACTACCTTTCTATTTTTGACAGTCCTAATTGATCATAACTTCCAATTAATATGTTAGCTCCGGTTGATTTTGTTAAAACATCAGCTGGCATTTCCTTCGTGGACACATGAGACACAGTAATTTTTCCTTCTTTTGTTAATTCCCTGATGAAATGATGCCTTATATCTATATGTTTAGATTTGTTATTAACTGACGCTTCATTGCAAAGTAAAACTGCACCCTGATTGTCATTCGATATAGGGAGTCGAATAGGAACATTTATAGGAGGTCCTTGATTCAGATGTTGTAATAAACGGCATAACCACAGACCATGTTTCGCGCAATCACCTATTGCCAGATATTCTGCCTTGGTTGTCGATAGCGTTACACAGTGTTGGCGTTTGCTTTTCCAAGATACCAGTGAACCCTTCACATAAAACACAAAACCCGTAGTTGACCGACGAGTATCTACATCACCAGCATAGTCTGCATCCGCATAACCCTCCACAAATAAATTCTGAGCCTTTCCATTACCAAAAGTTAAACTAAAATCCATCGTCCTCTTAACATAACGCAACAAATGCTTCACCGCAGCCCAATGAGAGTCGTTATGACGTGAATTGAATCTAGCAAGATAGCTAACCGCAAACGAGATATCCGGACGAGTTTGAACTGAAAGAAAGTTCAACATCCCAACGGCTGCACGATATTGTTCAATTTCATTTGATTCTTCGATAGACGGGGTTGCAAGTTTTACATTTTGAGGGAGAGGTGTCTTGACTCCATTACAATTTGACATACCGAATCTATCCAACATACTTTCACAGTAGTGGGATTGGTCTAATGATAGAGTGCGCTTGGAACGGTCTCGAGTGATATGAACCCCCAGATGAAGTGACGGGTTGGAGTTCCATCGGAACTTGTAGATTTTCTGAAGCTCTTCACGAAATGATCGGAGAAATGATTTATCATTGGAAAATGTCATGCCATCATCCACGTGCATGTGAATGTGTATAAATGAATTGTCTTTACGCATCGTGTATAACGAGTTATCAACTGGGCAGACAGTGAATCCAAGACGTTTGAACTTCGTATCCAAGTCATGATTAAACTCGCGATGGGCCTGACAAGTTCCATAGAGTGACCTATCCAAAGCAACGACATGTTTGGGCTTGGAGGAGTCACGAAATCCTGTGACTTGACGCACGTAAACTTTGTGATGAAGTGAGCCATTGAGAAAAGCGGTTTCTATGTCGAATTGCTCCATTTCCAAATCATCCGTGGCTGCAAGACTGTAGAGAGTGCGGAGTGTATCAGTTAGACCGACGGAAGCGTAGGTAGAGTCGAAGTCGATGCCTTTAATTTGATGATTTCCTCCAGCTACCCATCGAGCCTTGTACTTGGTTATACGGCCAAACTCATCACGTTTACGCTTCAATCGCCACATGCCCGGCAATATATTAGCATTGGGTGGAGCTTCAACAAGTCTACCAACATCATGGATCTGTAAAGACGTGAACTCCTCAGACATAGCTTTCAGCCACTCTTCACGATTGGGTCCACTCATTGCCTTGGTGTAAGATGGATCATCGTTCTCTGGACCATCATCTACTTCACTCAGGTAGCATTCGTTAAGTTCGGTCACTGTATGATATCCGATCAAGTCGCCCAATCGTTCTACAGGGGCTGGTTGTTGCTGAGATCTGCGAGGCTGAATGGGTTGTGTTATTTGAAGAAAATCATGAACGTCCTTGGTGGTATCCGGAGGTGATGTGTTGACCTCCCAGACTTCATCCCAACTTTCATCATTTAGCACCGTCAACTCCTCAGTAAATTCAGGATCAAGTTTTCGCAAAGGAAATACTTCCTCATTAAACACGACATCATTTGAGACCATTATTCGATTTGTCTTCGGATCCCATAGTCTATAGGCATTTGAATACTTTTCATAACCCACCATTATTGACTTGATTGAACGTGAAGCCAGCTTATTCTGATGACCAGGGGGAATGGTGTAGGCTAAACAACCTATAGCACGGAGACGATCATAATGTAGGATTGGTGTTTTGAGTCCAAGAGCAGTCGTTTGCCAGGCATATTCAGGACAATCGAACTTTACAGATTTTGAGGGACACAGGTTCAAGATGTACGACGTAGCCATTATTATTTCACCCCAAAGGCGCACAGGAAGGTTGGCATGAATCAGTTGTGCTCTCAATCTTCCTGATATCGTTCTGTTGAATCGCTCAACCACCGAATTCTGCTCAGGGCTCTCAGGGGGACCCATCTCATGCACGATACCTT